TTTCCTCCCTCCCTCCTCCCCTCGCGGGTTCGGTTGTTTTCCTTTTGGTTTTGGTCCCCCCCCCCCCCCCCCTTCCTTTGCTCATTTGCAACTTCTAATAGACTTCTCCTCCCCCCTCCTCCCCCCTCCCTCCTCTCCCTCCTTCGCTCAAATCCTCGTCGTCTCTCTTTCTCCATCAGAACTCTTGACGGGGGGAGAAGTGTCGCGTTCGGCCAGCGGATATCTGAGACGAGTGAAAGGGAAGGACGGGAAGGAAAAGATCATCTTTCCCCACACACACGCACACGCACACGCACACCGACACGCACACGGCTGATATGGCCTGAAATGACCCAGGAGGGAGATGTGTGTTCATGTGTGTGTGTGTGTGTTGTCATGCAGTAGCACGCTTGCCAATGCCCCCCCATCATGTGACCACTCCGTTATCTGCACGCGGTGTAAACACCAGGCGTTAAGGTCAAGGTCAGAGGTGATACCGTGCACGCGGTTTAGCAGGAGGAGGCAGGTGGCGAGGCGGGAGAGGGAGCGACGAAGGCGAGGAGGCAGAATGAATAGAAGGTGCACTAAGGAGCAGACCGGAGAGCAAAGGGAAGCTCAAAGGGAGTTTGTACGTTGCGGCGCACGGCTAAATGCCACAGGGGAGGAAATCATAAGAGGGAGACGGAGGACTGAGCTGAATCGGCTGACTGTCCTTGTGCTCCTCAGCAGGTGCATATTTTGGCAGAGGATCCATTGGAAGGCCTGAAGAGCAGCGCTGACCCCTGCTGGCTAAATACGGACGTCCAGCTGGTCGACATGTTCCTTCTTCTCGTTATCAAGGCAACGACATCATCACACTTCTTCATTTAAATCGTACCGGTTTGCTGTGTAAACGCACACAGAAGCTGTTTTCATGTCCACAGTAAACTCAATCACTTTTTGTCTTTTGTTTTTTGTCGGCCTACAAGAAGATGAGTACTGAGAAATATGAAATGATTTCAAGCCCAACAAACATTTTCCAAATGAGGAACCGACCCATTTATTTACACAAAGTGAAAATTGCGTAATTCACAGAATTATTGTTTTAAAAATTTTAAAAAACGTTTCTGATGCACACGTCTGCATCCACGGTCCTGAGGAACACAACACCCACATCGGGACGGGCTAAAAAAAACTCCTTTATGAAAGTGGAGAAAGTGTGAAGCAGAGTAACTCTTGAAGCGAGTCCCAAATGTTTGTAACTTTAAAAGAGGTAAAGTATCAAATTTGCGAGATGAATCACAAGAAGAATTTGAAGCCGACTGGCTTCCCGTCACTGACTTCGGAGGGAAAGAGCCTTTTAAAATGTAGCACTTAGAGTTAACTGAGCGCATCGGGGCGGAAGCTCGGGCGTGATTATCATGCGATGAAGATCGATCAGAGGAAAACCGGCGGAACGGCGTTTTCCTCGCCGCCGTCGAACGCGGGTCCCTGCCGTCTGCCGCCTTTGTAGAAGTGGCGAGGGTTCCATTTGGCGGGCGCGGACACGTGCCACATGACCACGCCGGTGGGGTTGACGGACACCACGAAGGGAGCGGAGTCTTTCAGCGCCATGCTCTTCCCGGTGAAGACGTCGTAGATCTGAGGAAGGGAGATAAATGAGACTCTCCTGCGCTGGCAGACGGGTGTTTGTCCAGAGAGACCTGAGACAAAGACGGCGTCCAGAAGACGTCTGAAGTACCTCGTAGCTGCCGGCGGTGTAGTTGAGTTTGCTGAGGCTGGTCTGGTAGCGGTAGGGCATGTCGGTGCGACGGCTGAAGAATACCAAAGCGCTTGCGTTTTTGGAGAGGGGGCGCCAGAACACGTCGATGCCAATCTTCTCCTGGCGAAAAAAATGGAAACGGAAGGCAAAAATGTGAACAACGACACGCGGAATGAGGAGACATGTGGCCGAAGCTCAAACCAGCAAACTCCTGTTCGTTTATTTACTCTTGATAGAAGCTATAAAGTCCAACGGAAAGGTGTGTCACCTTTACGAGGCGCCTGCCCTGGACGCCCATGGGGTCCTGGTTGATGATGATGGCCATTTTGTTCTGAAGGATGGTGCGGGCGCCGCTGCTGATGGTGCGCAGGTCATTGGACATGAACAGAGGAGCGGCCATGATCGCCCACAGTGCCATCTGAGCCCGAGACTGGTCCATGCTGAGGCCAAAGTCGCCGACAATCAGCTGTGCAGGTCAAAATAACAAAATCAAGGAAGATCAAGTAAGATGTTGCACCCGTAGCCATGATGAAACATTACACCAGCGGAACGGACCATATCTGGGTCGTTCCACTTCCCGGGTCCAGCTGCAGGAGCCAGGACGTCCTGGTTCTCAAAGAACCAGTTAATGATGTTCAGGACGCTGTCCCAAGAGTCCTGGATGTCGCCATAGTTACGCCACAGGTTGCAGATCTGACCCAACTCAGTGTAGTTTACCTGAACACAAAGGTCAGCTTCATAAAAAGAATGTGGACAACAAAGTCCCCTAGAAAAGAGGCTACTTCCAACAGGAAATACAACATTATACACCTTTGGTCATTGTGTTTAATACCTTGGGGGGCAGGCCGCCCTGATAGGCAGGCCAACTGCAGGAGTAGCCAATAGGACGGCCCGTAGCGTTCAAAGCCTTCGACATCAGAGGGTAACCTGCCCGAGAGTCAAATCAAGTCAGCGTCATGTCGACCCCCCCGATGGAAGAGCCCCTGCCTCCTCTCTTCTTACCCTGCTCCTGCTCCGTGGCGTTAGAGTAACAGCCGTCAAATTTGAACATGTCCACCTCCCAGTCGGCGAAGGTCTGAGCGTCCAGGTCGATGTTGTCCAGCGTGGTGCCGGGGTACCCCCCGCAGGTGTGCGTGCCCATGTCCCCGTACAGGCCCAGCTTGAGGCCCCTGGCGTGCATGTAGCGCGCCAGTTCCTTGATGCCCCGTGGGAACCTGATGGGAGGGGCAATTGTGACGTCATAACAAAGTGCAGAGACGAATCACGATCAAATGACTACGTAACCATGTGTACCCTGAGAGCGTGGTACGTGGTTACGCGCCTACTGATACAGGAGGATCGCATGCTAATAGTGGAGCCACTGCGGTTTGTTTGTTCAGGACGATGCTGATGCTGCATGTAACAGAGTACACAGAAAACCGCTGACTACTAACGTTCACGCTGATCACATGACCGTGTGTCTGTCACATGTTTGACTGTGTCATTACCGCTTAGGGTCGGCCTGCAGCCGCCCCTTCTCGTCCCTCTTCATCGAGGACCAGCAGTCGTCTATGTTCACGTAGACGTAGCCGAGTTCCCTCCAGCCGTCCTCGGCCAGTCGGTCAGCCATGTCGATGAACAGGTTCTCACTGGAGGGAGGACAACAATCTAGTGATTCTTACCCTTAATAATGTCTACATAGCAATCTACCCTCAGACTAGAGAGCCGTTCCCATTGCTGGAGAAAAGCGCCAATGAATGAATGAATTCCTCTCACGTGTACTTGCCTGATGCAGTTCTTGGGGTCGTGTTCGCAGTCGAGGTCGCAGCGGAATCGTTCCCACGCCAACCAGCCCATGGGAGGGACCCTCATCTCGCCATTGTCGAGGGCCAAGGTGGCCGAGCAGAGCGCCGCCACCAACAGCAGCAGCACCGCCACCTGCATCCCTGTGAGGCAACGACATGTCGATGCACTTTGTATAAATGTGTAATTGTCACGTAAACACCTCACACGTGTTGTTTTGTGAACGCATATTCCTCTCTCAGGAATCAGGAAACATTTATTACCAAAATATGCCAAACATACAAGGACTTTGTCTTGGCGGTTGGTGCACACCTGTCACACCTGCACACCTGCACACCTGTCACCTGACTGCGTGTGACTGAGTCTGAACGCACACAGCGACCTGCCAGGTGACTTGTGTCATGTGACCAGCTGACCAAACCAGAACTCAGAGGTAATTAAAACTAAACTGTCACTTTACTGTATAATAAGCAGAGTTACTACACACATATTCGCTGTAAAGGGACACAAATACACTGTTGTTGCTGCTATTACACCTTTACAGCACATCGTGAAAAGGTAATAGTTTGTTAACTTACTGAGATTCACTGATCTTCTTTCAGGTCAGGAGGAAGGAGGAAGAGGACGCGGCTCCCCACGACGCCAAATGTGCGGCTTCCTCTTGTGCTGCCTCCTCTCCTAGCCTACTTCTCTCCTTTCCTTGTTCGGCTCCTTCTCCTTCTCTACCTGCGAGCTTCACGCAAACAAACAACCTCTCCGGGCGAATGCGGATAAGACATATAAACTGAGCGGCTCCAATAGGAGCGGAAACCACAGTCACGTGACGTGGCGCAGTCAGCTGACCAGGAAGTCGGACGGTGACGTCACGATCAGCCGCGTGACATTCTTTTTACTCTGCTTGCACACTTTTCCTTCGTCCTTTCCTTTTCTTATGATCTCCAACAAAAACATCATGCTACCTTACCTGAGAAGACACTGTTTATACACCTTTTATAAACACGACACACACGTTATTATACGTTATTGTTCACGAGAGTGGAAACACCCGTCTGTCCCTGAACACTAGTGTGTCCATGGAAGCGTGCATGGTGGGCCCCTGGAATGAGCGGCCCCTGCTGAGGTTGAGGGACATGGTGGATGGGGACTTGGGGGATGGGGACCTGGGGGATGGGGACTTGGGGGATGGGGACCTGGGGGATTGGGACTTGGGGGATGGGGACCTGGGGGATGGGGACTTGGGGGATGGGGACCTGGGGGATGGGGACTTGGGGGATGGGGACTTGGGGGATGGGGACCTGGGGGATGGGGACTTGGGGGATGGGGACTTGGGGGATGGGGACCTGGGGGATGGGGACCTGGGGGATTGGGCAGTATTCAGCAGTAATAAAAGGCAATAACTGTCAGAAGGGTTTGGTTGTGCGGTGGAAATGCTCCAGGTGATTGTTGTGTAGACGCATAGATGATGATGATGTCACAATGTCTCCTGTCGCGCACCAACCGCCAAGACAAATTCCTTGTATGTTTGGCATATTTTGGTACTAAATGTTTCCTGATCCTGATCCTGATGATCACAAGCTGGTCTGTAGGTACAACCTGCACACTGTAGGTGGCGGCAAAGCAGCTCATGGATGAAATGAAGCAGATCCGCAGAAGAAGAAAGTGTCTCATCGACGAGGAGACATGGCGGAAACCAGTCTGGGTAAGATTAAAATAAGGAATAGAAATACTTAGTAAAAGTACTTAGTAAAACTTAGATATTCCCCGACGGTCGCAGCTGCTTCCAGACGCTGCAGCCATTACATGTCATTTACATGTATGTAGCCACGCTTCACACATGCCGATTTATGTGTGATAACTATAACCCTAACCCATAATCAACAGGGTTTACACAAGCGTGAAGCCCGAGAAACGTTCTTTGGAAATGTTTGAATAAAACGCACCTCGCGACCAGTTGGCCCTTTAATAATTACCTCTTTATTAAAACCGTATTATACCACGCTGGCTTTCTTATTGTAGCTTTACTTTCTTGATTCTTATTGTTCTGGTTTTGTTCCCTGTTGATTTATTGCACTTATTGTAACGTTAAGTCGCTTTGCATTAAAAGCGACAGTAAATGTAAATGTGTTTCATTGAAACATTTCCGGGTTGAAAGTGACGACATGGATCCATTTAAGTCGTTTCATTTCCTCTTAAAGTGCCGGCAGCAGTAAATACGATTGCAAATGTAATGACAAATAAAAGTACAAATGTGTTATAAGCAAAGTAACGTCTATGCTGTATCAGTAATGTGTTGACAGCCCATTTGAGGTATTTATATGTTGTTGGGGTCCGTGCAGTATAAAGTACATTAAAGTATAACGTCCGTGCCATTGCTGTACTTGTCTGGATTATAGAAGAAGCTCATTGTGTCCATTGTCGTGTGTTATTGTCCAATTAAACAAACCTGTTATGCAATTCTGTGCACAAAACCTCAGCTTGTTGACAACTGTGAACAAATGTGGTGCAACTATTGGAATTAACTGTTTGGAGGGATCAATGTCTTATCTTTTTATTTAATAATTAAGCTTAATTACACCTAATGTGCGGACCAAGCAAACATCGAATTGTAAATCAGAGTAACTAGGAACTATATTAGCTGCCTGAAACAACATTTACACGTGCTTTTTGCTTAATAATCAATGACTTTTATATAACATTCACCTAAATTAGCTTTACAAAGGCATTAATAAATAAAATCATCATGACAAACTAAAATACCGTAGAAAGATCCAGCCCAAAAAGTACCATGGAGTACCATCCTCTGTTACCACGGTAACACCTTTCGACCTCCATCAACTAACCAGCACCATAGTTTGGGTTTCTGTTGAATATGTGTCCCGTTGACGCGGTTGAACATGTTTCTTCTTTAATAAAAGGTGTCTTCTCCCCTTCCAGGTGCTTCTGGTGCACTGAAGACAATCCTGCAAAGTGCATCGGCGGGTTTTGCTTTCGGAGAAGTCGCATTACTCGCCCTCGAGCCCTCGCTGACCACAGATGGCGTCCTCCTGACCGCTGCGACTCTGGCCGCCGGACGAGTCGGCTCCACGGGCGCCGGGGTCGTGGCGGCGTGCCTCGCCTTCTCCTCCGTGCTCGTTTCCCTCGGCAGCGGCTTCCTCCTCGCCGCCGTGGTGATGAAGCTGTTGACCAAAGGCGGAGCCACGGCGCTGGCGGAGGCCACGGCGGGGGTCTCCGTGGTGGCGGGGGCCGTCGCTACCGGACTATTAGCCGGGATCCTTCCGCCGTGGATCTACATCGGAGCTCAAGCCATCCAGGTCCTTTTGGTGATCTCAAACTCCAACATTAACGACATGACCACGGCTCTGGCCATCATCTTCATCACGCTCTACCTCTGTGTCGTTTACGGGCGAATGGGCGTGTTCTTTGGACTCTTCCTCACGGGGTTGACCATATCTGTGCTCTGCGCCCTCCGAAAGGCTCTGGCAGGCAGGATGACGCCGAGACCAAAATCCAAAACCCAGTGTAAACTTTTGGAGCGGATCTTCTTCTACTCCGTCGTTGTGGGGAGCCTGGGCTTTTTAGTGGGCTTGGGTGCCGGTGAACCGGGAGAGGCGTCCGAAGCCGAGATGGTCCTGATGCTGCAGTCGGTCCTCTGGGTGGCGTTCGTGGCCGCGGGGCTGCTGGGCGCCGGCCTGGGGACGGTGGTCACGGTGGGGCTGGCGCCGGCGGCGGCTGGAAAGGTCACCGTTGGAGCTGCTGTGGTATCGTCAGTCTCCCTGAGAGCCGTCGTGCGTTTGAGCGCTTCGTTGGGGACCCGAAGCGGCGTGGGGGGAATGCTGGGAGCAGCCGCAGCCGCCGGCCTTTCCCTCGGCGCCGCCAGCGTGGCGGCGAAGAAGGCGTTCGGGGCTAGAAATTGGACCGTGGCGGCTATTGGCTCGGTCGCTCTCGGTGCGATAGTGGCGATGCGTGGCGGCGCGCTGGCGGCGACTCCCCCGACGACACCCGAACTGGTTTCCGTCAGCCTGGTCGCAGCGGGCTCGTTTCTTCTGGGGGCGCCCAGGAGCCCTTTCCACACGCAGGTCAATCTGCAGGTGGGCCTCGTCGCGGGGCCCGAGCTGATCCGAGGAGTCGGCATGGAGACGCTCACGGCGGCGGCGGCGCCTTTCGGAGCCGGGGCGCTCGGGGCGGCGGCGTTGGCTACCGCGGCTCTGGGGAGGTTGGGCACTGGGGGAATTGTGGCGGCTATATTGTTGGCTACGGGAAGTGTTCTCAGCGGCATGATAGGAAACTCTCAAACACCAACAACAAACGCACGCAGAGACTGAGGTCAAACGTCTGGACCCGAGGCCACAATGTTTACGTGTGTGTGTGTGTGTGTTTACTTGTTGATCAAACCTGGGATGGAAAGCTTATGGAAGCTTGATGAATAAAATAATTGATTAATGAAATCAGAGCATGTGTATTTATTTGTCAGTGTTTAAGTGTCGGTTGTTTGTGATGATCCCTTTTCTTCACACCAGCGTTGCTACATTTCCCAAGACGTGATCGTGAGGGCGGCGTCACTTTGGATTCCTCTTAGCAACAGTAACAGAGGACCTGCTGTTTAGAACTCGGAGGGGGGAGAAGCTGGAGGAGCATCTGGTCTGCAGATCTCACCATGGATTCACGCGCGTAAGATGCTCCTCCACCTGCTCAAACTGAGACACGAGACGTTGGATATCCTCAGGCTTTTGTTGGTCTACCATGAGCCCCCACAGACCTGCAGCAGCAACAAAGCAGATGTTTTTCCACCCAAACAACCGGGACGCAGCAGCTGGAACGACCTTATGTAACGTGGTCATCAGCATCGTTTCAACCGGTGGATGAACGCGATGGTTAAACGAGTCACTCTCTGCAACGGGGACGTCATTCTTTTGGCAAAATCAACAAAAGTAAGTCAACAATTCAACACGTCTCCAAAAAGTTGCCCTGAGATGGGACGCGCCGCAACTTTTCCACGGATTTTGCCGTTCCGCGGCCTCGGGGATTAATCGGTTCGGTGTCGGATCGCCCCTCCAAGCTGAACCATGTCCGTGGACCGGGTCGGAGCCTCCGCGCCGGAGCAGTCCGCGGAGTACTCGGCGGAGTATTCCGCGCAGATGCCCGGCGGTGCGGCTCACGGGGCGGGTCGGTCGCGGGACGTCACCGTGGTTCGGCCCGGCTGCTGCGGCTGCCTGCCGCGCGCGGTGCGCCTCACGTTCGCGCCGGCGTCGCTGGAGAGAATCTACCAGAACTACTTCCGCCGACAGAGGCAGGAGAACCTGCTCGTGCTGGCGGTGTTCGCGGCGCTTTTCAACGCCTTCGTCCTCCTCATGTGCGCCGTGGCGTACACGCGGGACAGACTGGCCCTGGTGGTGGTCGCGGCGGCGGGGCTGGCCGCGGACGCGGCGCTTTACGCGCTGTGCCGGCTGGAGCTGCTGCGCGCGTCGCCGGTGTTGCGCGGCGCGGTGCCGTACGTCCTGTGGCTGATGATCGCCGTGCACGTGCTGTGTTACGCGGGTCTCAACCACGCGCGTTTCCCTCACGCCAGCGACGCGGCGGGCTGGCAGGCGTTCTTCAGCTTCTGCAGCTTTCTGACGCTTCCGCTGAACCTGGCGCCGCTGCTGCTGCTCACGGCCATCGCCTGCGGGACGCACACCCTGGTTCTGGGCGTCGCCGTGGCCAAGAGGTTCGAGGACAACCTGCAGGGGCCCGTGCTGGCGAGGCAGGTAAATATACGACCCCCCGGTGGGGGGAGTTGCACCTGGAAGAAACACTTTTTGACAGAGAAAACAAGTTTCCTTATTATTGTGGCGCTAAAAACGTTTACTTTTGTGCAACATATAAAATGCATTTTATAACAAAGCAGCATGTGTTAAATACGCCCACAAAGAAAGAACATTTTGATTAAAGCAGTTCCCTGAAAAGGTTCTTTTCACGCACGTCTCCGTGCAGAATCAGAGACAGTAGCTCACAGAGGGACAGTATGAAGATGTACGTGTGTAAACACTTCCTCTGACCTTCTTCTCAGCTCTTAGCCAACTGGATGCTGAACCTGTGCGCCGCCGTGGTGGGTGTGATGTCGTACTACATGGCGGACAGGAAGTACAGGACGGCCTTTCTGGAGGCCCGTCAGTCCCTGGGGGTGAAGCTCACGCTGGAGGAGCAGAGCACCCAGCAGGTAAGTGGCTCACACAGGTACACTTTCCGTATGTGGGTCAGCAGGACACACCTGTGGGGTAGGACACCCTCGTCGCGCTGTGTGTTGCTCTGCTCGGGGCTGAAAGGGTGATTAGAGAGACTCGTTCTCACCAGCAGAGCCACCGGGACACGATACCGTCGCCTGAGCTCTGGGACTAAAGAACCTACAGTACAATTGGGTGAAGATGTGATTTGATATTTATATGTCAAATATAAGTTCCCCTTCCCATTGACATCTATCTCTTTTGGAGTTGCTTTTTTCTACTTCATTCCTTTTCCAGGCACCGTTCTGTATAATGAGAATATTAATGGTGCATGTTTGTGTACTAACGAGGTGACGGCACAGAGAGTAAAACGTTGCCTTTACCTCGGGGGTCTTGGTAGAAGACACGAAGGCGCAGCCAACCATTTGACAGGATCTTTTTTAGAATCCCTTTACTCCTTCAGTCATGCTATGTGCACAAACACACACAAAATACACACAAATTGATCTCTTCTGTCCACACGGAACGTGATAAACCTGAGCGTGCTCCGACTGTGGCTCCGTGTAGGAGGAACTCTTACTGTCCATCCTGCCCAAGCACATCGCCGATGAGATGTTGCGGGGCATGAAGAGCCAGGCCGATCAGAACGAGGTCCAGCATCAGCAGTTCAACACCATGTACATGTACCGCCACGAAAACGTCAGGTGGGGACCTCTAAACCGACTTCCTTCATCGCGTGCGGTTGTCGTAGCGCGTTGACCGTTGCGTTGCAACCTCTTCTCCTCTGTTCCAGTATCTTGTTTGCTGACATCGTGGGCTTCACCCAGCTGTCCTCAACCTGCAGCGCCCACGAGCTGGTGAAGCTGCTCAATGAACTGTTCGCCCGCTTCGATAAACTGGCAGAAGTGAGTTTGTCTCCCTGGGTCACCGTACTCGTTGTACCGTCCATGTCACCGTGAAAGGCCCTCTGAGATCTGCCCCAGCAAACAGAATGACGTCTCCTCTGGGAGATAAATGTCCCATAGGATCCCGTTCAGTGGAGCAAATGAGCGTGAAGGTGCTTTAAGATGCTCTAACGGTGAAGACAATGTGATGAAGTGCCTTCTGAGTCCATCACTGCTCCACGTGCTTTGACAATAAGTTTGTTGCGTATATTGTTGTTAGGAATGCTGGTAGATTTACATTTTTTATTCTGTTTTTGAGATTAATTCCGCGACACTCGTTTTGAACGCGTTCATCTTGTGCGGCAGGAACATCACCAGCTGAGGATCAAGATCCTCGGCGACTGTTACTATTGTATCTGTGGGCTTCCTGACTTCAGGAATGACCACGCGGCCTGCTCCATCATGATGGGCCTGGCCATGGTCGACGCCATCTCGTGAGTGCCGCTTCTATTCGTCACAACTAAAAAGATGTTTTTTTAAACTTTGCCCGAGAGTCAGGAGAACGGCCCGGATTATTTCTGTGGGCAAGAATTGAGATGTTTGAATGCTTATCAAGGCGACGAGACGTGAGCGAACGGAGACCCGTCCGAGACCCTCCGCTTTCCCTTCCGCCTCCAGGTACGTGCGAGAGAAAACCCAGACCGACGTGGACATGCGCGTGGGCGTCCACTCGGGCACCGTGCTGGGCGGCGTGCTCGGCCAGAAGAGGTGGCAGTTTGACGTTTGGTCCACAGACGTCACCGTAGCCAATAAGATGGAGTCTGGGGGCATTCCTGGGTGAGGGCGCCTGTTTCTCAAAACCTGGGTGAGCAGGTTCAATTCTCCGGTGCACTTGATTTCACAGGGTTCATGTCCCACGCAGGAGGGTGCACATTTCACAGAGCACCAAGGACAGTCTGCACGGGGAATTTGAGCTGGAGCTGGGGGATGGAGGAGAGCGCTGCGAGTACCTGCTGGAGAAAGGCATCGACACTTACTTAGTTCTGGTGCCTAAACAGGTGGCGAACGGGCTCAGCCGACATGTGAGTTGCTTCTCTCTTTGATTGAAATGATGGTTTTTAACCCACAAACCTTCAGTGTAGGATATTTCCTGTTTTTCTAGAGAAATGTGATTTTCTCAGTTCCGCCCGAAAAGACTCGGCGTGATGTTTCGGTTTGGTCCGTTGGTCCGTTCCAAAGGTCAATGTTAAGATAAACATGTACCTGGACTCAAGGATGAGCTGGTGGTTAAAGTCACAGCGGCCTCGTGTCCGTAGCAACGCATAGGTCACTTGGACCTCATTTATATGTTAACAATGCCAATTGTCATTGTGACGGACAAACAAGGACGTAAACTGCAACTTGACTGGTTTGTGGAGACATTCACCTGGAAAACCTGGTTATTTTAATCGCATTAACAGATGTTTCTCCTGCTTCTCTGCCCCCAGAAATCAGGCACATTGTCAAACAGAAATTCAAACCAGTTAATCAGCACTACAGCGACCAAAGGGAACGCAGCCTCATGCCAATCCACCCCCACTGAGTCTAAACAGGAGGTGAAGCCCAATAAATGTCTTAAGTATGTTGACAACAATACATTATCCTTATTAATTCTCCATCTCCATTCTCTCTTTTTGATGATGACAACATCAGAGGAATAAGGTGGTCGAGGAGCAAGTGATCAACAGACGTTTGCAGCAGGAGCTGCTGGACAGAGAAACTCAGCAAATGTAAAAAGAATCGGACAAATACAAAAGAAAGACGAGAAAAGCAGAGAGTTACAATGTCTTTGTGTTCCTCGCAGAATGAAGGATCACCAAATCAACCCTCTGTCGTTGCGTTTTCTGGACGCACAGTTGGAGGAGCAGTACTCCGCGGAGAAGGAGAAGCGGAGCGGAGCGGCCTTCTGCTGCTGCGCCATCGTGCTCTTCTTCGTCACAGCGATGGAGGTGTTCATAGACCCCCTGTGAGCGCACGTCTCATGAACTACACGCAGATCGACATTTGATCCTCACGCAACCCGAGCAATGGTCCATTGAGGTTGTGCGTTGTCGCTGCAGGCTGGCTGTGAACTACGTGACTCTGGCGGTAGGAGAGGGGTTGTTGCTCGTCCTCACCGTGTGCTCCCTGGCCGCCATCTTTCCCAGGGTGAGGACAGATAATCAGCCTCCACGGTTGTGGCGAATTTACGCAGGTGTAAATTATAAAAACGCATAAAGCATATGTGAACGTCACATTGAGTACATGTTTGTTTGTCACAGATGTTCTCTAAGCGGTTGGTGTCTTTCTCGGTGTGGATCGATCGCACGCGGTGGGCCAGAAACACATGGGCCATGGCGGCCATATTTGTTCTCACCATGGCTGTGATCGCTGACATGGTACGATCGTCACGCCGTTCTATTTGCGTGTTTCCACTTTGTCCTCGTCAACCCATCGGCGCCTTGTATGTGTCTGACTACGTGTCCCAGTGGGACCCATTAGGCGTCCATCTCGCTGCCTGCCGGCTCATTTGTCTCGTCCCCGGCGGGAGCAGCGGGGTGCACGCGCCACCGCCTCCCGAGGTCTGACGAGAACAGAGGACGCTGAAGTGAACGTTCATTTCTCTGTCTTAGCTGCTAAAAGACAAGAGGTCCAACTGTCTGTATCGTTCACGTTGTCGCTGCTGTAGCGGCGCTATTACGAATACATGGTTTGATTCGATGCACAAGGGAAACAAAATGTCACGGGATTAAACCAGTTTGTAATTTGAATCTCGATGTTTCAACGTGTTGCGTCCTAGCTCTTAATAACGGGCCTCACAACCGGTGTGTTGAATCCCTGACATTGCAGCTGAGCTGTGCTCCACCGTCCCTTCGAGTCTTCAACAGCACCTCCGGCCCCGTGCTGGAGTCCCTGGGGGACCGAGGCTGCGCAGACAATCCAAAGCACTACAGCTTCATGGCTGTGATGTCACTCATCGCCACCGCCATGTTGGTGCAGGTCGGCCACCTGATCAAACTGGGCCTCATGGTGCTGGTCGTCACAGCAACTGGTGCCGTGAATATCTACAGCTGGCGGGACATATATGACCTGTACGACTATATACAGTTTGCCTCATACAGGTGAGAGACAGGGAAAGCAAATCAATGAACACGGTTTCAATGTCATTTTTATTGAAAATACTTCACTAAATAAGCCAATAGAGAACAATGATGTGATATTCGTTGTTGTTTGCAGAACATCCACAGTGCCGTCCAAGTACCTGATGACCGTGATGATCATTGTCATGATGATTGACTTCTACCTCTTTGCGCGCCATGTGAGTCATTGTCTCCTGTTCCCCCATCAGATGTTTCCTCCATAGCTCACTTCATCGAAATATTACACAGCCTTCTCTGCGGTGTGTGTGTGTGTGTGTGTGTGTGTGTGTGTGTGTGTGTGTGTGTAGCTGGAGCTCCAGTCCAGGAAGCTGTTCCTGTGGAAGATGGGTGTGCACGACCAGAAGGAGAGGGTGTTTGAGATGAGACGCTGGAACGAAGCTCTGGTCACCAACATGCTGCCGGAGCACGTGGCCAAACACTTCCTGGGCTCCAAAAAGAGAGACGAGGTGATGAGCCATTGCAGCTTACGCCTTCTTCAGTTGACACGGAGGCGACGGGTCTGATGCCGTACTATTTATCAGAACATTAAATGCATCACGGCATGTCACGCTGTACCTCATCACGACGTAATGCGCTGCCTTTCAGTGCCATCTGGAGGTGTATTTCAAAATGACACATCCAAGCTTTCCTCTGCGCTAATTAATTATCAGCCAACTAACATCCATCGTGCCTTTTGTGATTTTCAGGACCTGTACAGCCAGTCTTACAATGAAATAGGTGTGATGTTTGCGTCCATCCCCAACTTCTCTGACTTCTACACTGAAGAGAGCATCAACAACGGAGGCCTCGAGTGTCTCAGGATTCTCAATGAGATCATCTCTGACTTTGACAGCGTGAGTACCAGCTGCTTCAACCGGCGCATTAAGACATTAAATACCTGTCATCCAACCGGTGCCTCATTTCTTCCTCAAGTTACTGGACAGGGATGAGTTCCGCTACATCACTAAGATCAAGACAATAGGCAGCACCTACATGGCTGCATCGGGACTCACGCCAGAGAGCAACACAAACGAATACAGCAACCGCAAGGTAACGTACTCAGGTAGAACGACGTGTTGCACTCTACCTGCACTGTAACGTGGCGAGGATGATAGCATGTGGAAGTCCACAGCCGGAGGACCAGTCACTGATCGAGCGCTGGCAACACCTCGCCGACCTGGCGGACTTTGCCTTGGCCATGAAGGTCACCTTGAACAACCTGAACAAACAGTCCTTCAACAACTTCATGCTTCGGATCGGTTAGTGTGTGTGTGTGTGTGCGTGACTTTGAGCACATCTGCAAGGTTGTGTGTTTGTGTTTCCACGTTTTCCATCCCCTTCTAGGTCTGAACGAGGGCGGAGTTTTGGCTGGAGTCATTGGAGCTCGCAAACCTCACTACGATATCTGGGGCAACACGGTCAACGTAGCCAGCAGGATGGAGTCCACCGGAGTGATGGGGAACATCCAGGTAGCGCACACACAAACACAAGATATCCCGATATTACTCTTCTCTTCATAGGTTCATGCTCATTTTCTATTTCATTTGTTTAAATGTTATGTTCTGCTCCACCCTCAGGTGGTGGAGGACTGCTACGACATCCTGAAGGAGTACGGCTTCCGCTTCATCCGGAGGGGGCCCATATTTGTCAAAGGGAAAGGGGACCTGCTAACCTTCTTCATGAAGGGAAAAGACAAACCCAGGAGCAACCGAGCTCCGGTGGCCACTGTCCTGCCACACCAAGTCGGTGACCACTGAATATTCCCACCGGGCGAAAAGACGTTAGTTTACATGATAAGCAGGGGGACAATGTCCACGTGGTCCATTTCCTCTCATACACACCGGTTACTTACGTATGTCTTTATGTAGAACATAATACAATTAAAAGCACTACAACCGGGGAATACGGTTTCACCCATAAAGAAGCGTAATACGGTCAACTGATTTTGTATAGTTGTACATAATTCAGAAATGGAATGAGAATAACCAGCTTGGGACTGATATATAAAGCACTCTCCTTTGTTTAATCTATTTTGTTATATTTAGTAATTGTCTAAATATTGTGCTTAATCACATTGTAATTATACTGTGGTAATAAAAAATGTTTGCGTTTTGTTTCTGAGATTACTTTGCTGATCATTCTGTTTTTAGAATTGTTCTACACTATAATAAGGCAAAATTGGAAATAACATTATTCCATATAGGATCAATTATATATTGCTAATCAAACAAGTTACATGCTAAATGTTAGCATGTTGTTACAGTAAAACTACTACTACATTCCCATACTAAAGTTATGCACTGTTACAAGACAAGGGCCGGTCAACAGTAATCTAATCATAAATACATGTAATGTCCCTGGCCAGTTGTTTCTTGATTATTCAGTCCTTTGATTTATTCCTTAATTAATATACCGTTACAGGCACTGGTAGGGCCATACAGGCAGCATGGCCCTGCTACGAAAAGTCAAAACAACTGAGAACCAACGGATACACTAGATTGGTTTATGGAGACTGAAAGGAGCAGAGGCATCAATAATTCAAGTTTAAATGTTTGCAGATGAAAAGTTTATTTTCATATGAATAATAATGCAATCATCACAATAATGATCAAGATGACAATGGTTGGGGGTTTAATGGTTTCTCAGAACTAACTGGAACATACATTTAGATAAAGGTGGTGTGTGTTGACGTGTGCGTGTTAATGATTTTGAGAGATGTCTTCAACATGATAGAAAATACAAGAAAATACAGTACATTTATTGTTCCCACGGGTAAATTCTGCAGTGAAATATTCAAGCTGTGGCTACTTTTTTTTGTATTTCTGCTTTTTAACATTTTGAACTGAAGCCCTCAAAGCGTAATACACCGTGATTCCGATTTTAAAAAATAGAACACATGACAAAAATCAAACCCGGTCGATTTCCATTCTACTTTGCCTATTCTAGGAGATAGTTGACTGAGTTATGAGTGGTTTAGAAAATGTAAAAGCTACACGCCTGTGGAAATTGCATGTGCAGTTAAAGTTATTGTGCATATATTAAAGCCAAGTCTCTGGAGGCATTCAAATGAATCGGGATGTGTTTTTTATTTTATTGTTAGCGGTTCATTATTGTGGTAACTAGATTATCATGCGCCACCCATGGATTATTCTACCCGGAAGCTTGGTAGTGTAGGAATTTCCGGTTACGTCAGAGCGTCAGGACTCCATTAGAGCTGCAGCTGATTCGAGAGAAACAACAACAAAAACGGGCCAACTGTCAGCGCCTCTATAGTGACAGTCCGCTCAGAGTCAGACACCGAGGCCTCAAACCTGGAAGCTTAACCCAAATTTCCCACCCGGAGCTCCGCCGGCTACTAACCACGGCCGCTCTCGGTGAGGAAACTCTGGCCTCCGCTTCCTCCTCCTCCGACTCGGACACCGGCGGAGCGTCGCCGCCCCCGCGGAAGAAGCACCGAGCCTCGGCGGCGGAGGGAGCAGGAGAGCCCGGGGCTTCAGCCGTTATTACAGGCCTCTCCGGAATCGTCCTCGGACTCGCTACTCACGCGTCGCACTCTCAGGCCACCGCTACGATCCACTTTAACCGAAGTGTCGTCAACAACCTCAGCAGCAGCATGCAGGCAAACGGGGCGGCGCAGGGACAAGATTCTTCAGAGCTCTCCTGCCTCAACAGCGCACAAAACGGGGAGTCATCCTCGGCCGGAGGAACGCACTCCAACGGGCTTCTGTCCAGCGCGGACAACGGGAATAGCGTCGGCGCCAGTAACGGGTCTTCGGCCGGGCCCGCTTCGGGCTCCGCGGCTTCGGGCTCGGAGGTCGGCTCCCTGAAGAAGAAAAAACGACTGTCGCAGGCGGAGGAAGATGTCATACGATTAATAGGGCAACACCTCCACGGACTGGGGCTCAAGTAAGTTTATTCGAAGTCGGGGAAGAGCCCGATTTACGGGAACCGCGTAACGGCTCGTCGGCGTGAAGGTGCCGGGCAGCAGACGGCTGTTGGTGCGCTTAGCAGACGCGCGCGCGCGGGGGGGGATGGGGCAGGTCGCCCGCGAGCTCGGCAGTTGGTAGAAAGAAGGGGTCCATCTTGCACAATAACAGTTAGCTTGACGGCTAACTGCGCTAGCCTGCGCGGAGGTGTCACGTCTCCGCACCAACACAAACGGGCGAATTCAACCTTTTTATTCGGGGCGCTGGTTTGAAACGAACCCGTCGCGGGTTCTGGGTGTGTTTTCCAGTTGGGACGTGATGTGTTTGCGTTATTGACGTAGATTTTAAACTGAATAAACAGCCATTACATAATGAAACGGGGTTTTTTTTTGTTGGTTTGTTTTTTCGTTTGGTGTGTAAAGCGTGAAACGAATGACACGAAGGGATAAACATGATTTAGCTCGTTGCTAAATGCACATGCACGATTATGGAGTTTGCGCCGTAACGTTACATGTTACGACCCTATTAGCAGAATGTGCGGAGGACACGTTGACATGGAGATCCGTTGTTGTTGTTGTTAAAAATAATGTCCTTGCTTTTTAGGGGACCGTGTGGACGTCACGTTGACAGTGTCCCAGCCAGCGTGCTGATTTTAGCATTCTGACTGCGCCGTTTGCGCGTCCCGAGCTGTCGTTTCCCCAACTTGTGTGTTCGTCCATCGCATCACCATTTTAGGCGTCTGTCTCGCGCTCCCATCGACACGTTACTTGTTCGGTTTGATGATGTCATCGGTCCCGAGCGGCGACTTACTTTTATTCACACATTTGGAGCAGAATCGGTGCTTTTATTGCGGCTGCAGAATGCGCTTTCTAGCAGCTGTTTCAGGAGGCAGCGCTGTGTTTGAATCTAATTTTAGCACGGGGGGGGGGAAGGGAGGGAGAGGGCGGGGTTTTCCCAAAGTTACCAATGGACCAGCCGCGCGTAATGTCCACGGCATCCTTCGGAGAGGGGGGAGCGTCAATTACGGGCCTTCACAGAAGACGCTAAACCCAGCGATTTTAACCCGCGGGGGGGGGGCACAGGGCACATGACCGGCCGCCATGAAACAGCGGGGGGGGGGTGGGTGCAAGAGGAATCAGTGTTGCAGTCCGCTGGATGAGAGGCCCCAACACAGCTGCTGCGCCACTCCATTGATACCTGAGTGACGTCATCATGCTGAAAGCGTCAGCCCCCCCAGAACCACGGCTGGTTATGGTGGAAGCTCAGTTTATGTTACAGAACCTCCTCGTGGGCACAAAAACTGCTCCTCCGGACATCGTGGGCCATGAACCTGCCCTCATGTCATTGTGACTGAATTGTGTTGTTGTTGTTGTTGTTGTCCCGGCACTGATGTGATTGTTTAACATCTTCCCTTTACCTATTTGCTGTGCTCATAAAATATGCCTAGAAATAGCGCCTCATGTGATTATGATGAACTGATTGTCCTCACCGTGCTAATGAGCTCACCGTTTCTTTGTCCTAAAAGTCCACCTGTGTTGCGTCTGGATTGCAGCCTAACGTCCTCTGTCCCCCCCGTCTCTCTGTGTCTCTGCAGTCAGACAGTTGACCTGCTGATGCAGGAATCAGGCTGCCGACTGGAACACTCCTCCGCTACCAAATTCCGCAACCATGTCATGGAGGGAGAGTGGGACAAGGTTTGTCTTTTGGTTGCCGTGGTTACGTAAAAGTACACTCCGTGATAGACAGGTAACCGGTGACCAAGACCGTTGTTATTCAGAAAACCAGCATACAAACATCCTGGTGTTGGAGGAAGCCTGGCAGAGTTCTTGTAATGGTCTGCATTAGGCCAACGTTGCACAACCTCATTGTATTAGTTATTTTATGTTGTACACAATTCTGATGAGTACTAGTGAAATAGTTTTTATGATTAACAGATTCTTATTATTGCCAACTGAAATCTGACTTTTGGTCGTTGTCTGTAATGTTCAGGGGCTCAAAGGGTCTTTGATGATTAAGGAACAACTAGTCATTGTCGTTATGATAAATGAAGCAGTAAAATAAAGAGGTAGTTGTTTGATTATGTTCGCTTCATTATGTTAAAGCTCCTGAGCACCTTTAGCGTAGCAGAGCGTTGCTGAAGGACGTTGTGAGGCCTCTATTAGGCCCGATAACGTGCACCATCAATAATGTGTCTAACATTAGGCTCATATTAGCATATTTCCAGACATTTCAGTGTAATTGGCTGTTAAATCAACACCCTCCGCTGTATTCCCCCGTTCTGCAGCAGAATTACTCGTTCCAACATTTAAGAGCTGGGGTTACGTAAAAAGTGAAAATGTCATTATGAATATTGTGAAAGAAGAAGGTGAGCGTAAGATCTGTTTTAATGCCTTTGTGATTTTTTTTTCTTTCTGGAAACTGCTGAGCTGACCATTTCTCTGTGTCTCCCCTCCATCACCCTCCCTTTGTTTTGATCCAGGCTGAGAATGATCTCAATGAGCTGAGAGCACTGATGCATTCTCCCAATGCCATTGTGGTAAGCTCCCCTTGAACTCCACTCAATGACGCCGGCCGGTTACAAGGCAAAACTGGAGCTTCTAGAATGGTTACAGTTCTAATGCAGGGCGGCAGGTTCTCGCTGTGGAAAATAATTGCTGTGGATGACACAGCAGGATGGAGACCACACTACATAAATACACAAGTCTGTTGTTTAAAGCACGGATGCTTTTATTGTTCCTTTAGTTTGTCCTTGGTTTAATCAAAACTAATTCAACTCAAAATTAAAATGTTCATTACATTACATTACATTTAGCTGAGGCTTTTATCCAAAGCAACTTGCATTACATTTTTAACCCGTGGCTTTTTCACTTTTTGCCCGGGGAGCAATTAGGGGTTAGGTGTCTTGCTCAGGGACACTTCGACATGGGGCAGCCGGGGCTCGAACCACCAACCTTGCGGTTATTGATCAATTCGATTGGTATTATATGTTCTGTGCAACTAGAGGCTTTATGATTGGCTGATCTTGTGGGGTTGCAGATGCATAAATAGTAACTGCAGTGCAGAAATGGTGAAGGCGTACATTAATTGCTGATTTATTTTAGTATATATGTGTTTATTACATAATATATCCCTTTCAGAATTGTATTTTATAGAAATAATTATGTAATACATGAAAGGGTTGTATCCCCTATCAGCCAATATGCTGCGATTGTGAAAAATGATAGACATATATTTGTTGTAACTGTATGTAGAGGATTCACACTGAAAAACAGTTGTTGTTTTGATCAAATATTCTAAAAACATGTATTCTATACTAATTGCTAAAATGTTGGACGGCAATGGAAATGGGGCTAATTAGTCCCAGCTAGCATGCTAATTAGCAGACAAAATGAGCTTCAATATGGTCCCATGTGTCTCGCGTCTGACCGCCATCACCAGCTGGGATTGAGAAAGGGGCCAAAGCACTTGATTCATAACGGTGGGGCCTATAGGGGCCATTCTGGGTGTGGAGTGGTAGCAGGTTTGTGTCGTCATTGTCACTTATGGCACAGTCCTGGTGGAGAGTTGCTTGTCTGTGTGTTGTTTGTAGACCGTTTGTGGGTGTTTTCTTTTATATACTCATGTGTAGTAGATTGAGCCGTTGTCAGGGGCCACAGCTCCTTCTGCGCACCTGAGATAAGCCAGAGACTCTTACATTCACGCGTTACATTTCTTCTTTTTTTATCACAACTCATTAACGCTGGCAAACGCTTATCCGTGTTCCTCGGTAGGAAGAAAGTAGGCTTTACCATCTTAGACCACCATAAAGGAGTTCTCATCATCAAAACATCATGCCACCATTTTGTAATTTTATGCCTAGTGACACTTTGGGGTATTTTCCTTTTTTTTAAATATGATTCCAGATGTTTTTGTTGCAATGCACAGCTGTAACGCTTCAAAACATGGAGCTTTGTCGTGTCCTGCTGCAGTCAAGCCGACCGGTGGTAGAAATGACTTCTCTGACGCAGCCGTGTAAGCTTTTTAATCTCACTCCTTTTTAAATAATAAATCCATAACTCTGTATTTCTCTCCCACTTGTTCTTAGCGGATGAAGTTCTTGTTGCTGCAACAGAAGTACCTTGAATATCTGGAGGATGGAAAAGTCCTGGAGGCTCTGCAGGTGCTCCGAGGAGAGCTGACGCCGCTCAAGTACAACACAGATCGCATCCACGTACTCAGCGGGTACGTTTACAAGCTCCACGTCCACGTGGTACTGGTGTATATTTATCTTCTGTAGAGAGGGAAAACATGACTATTGACAGCGATCATGTGGCCTGTTAGATTGCTTCACTGTTGAACCCTGATTCTGTTTATTCTCGTTCCTGTACTGCCTCCCTTTGATCGCTTTCTCGGAATGTTCAGATCAATGGATTGAATCGATGTCGGGCCTGTTTCTATGAACGGACCAGCGCCCAATTTCCTTCATTCCTGCTCTTTGTGCTGGTGTCCTCCTACAGGTACCTGATGTGTAGCCACGCTGAGGACCTGAAGGCCAAGGCAGAGTGGGAGGGCAAAGGCACCGCGTCACGCTGCCGACTGCTGGACAAATTACAGAGTGAGGAACCGCGTCGACGCGCTAAACCTCCCCTGTAGCTGACGCGCTAAACCTCCCCTGTAGCCGACGCGCCAAACCCCCCCCCCCGTAGCCGACGCGCTAAACCCCCCCATGTAGCCGACGCGCACGTTGCATATCGACATCACTATTCAAATGCCAGAAAAATAAAGAAAAGAACCTGTGTGACGCTGCTATCGCTCTGCAGCGTACCTGCCGCCTTCTGTGATGCTGCCCCCTCGGCGGATGCAGACCCTCCTGCGGCAGGCGGTGGAGCTGCAGAGGGACCGCTGCCTCTATCACAACACCAAGCTGGACAGTAATCTGGACTCCGTGTCTCTCCTCCTCGACCACGTCTGCAGCAGGTTGGTTCCGCACAGCTAGCAAGCTACTCGGGCCCCTCGAGACCTACATCTTGGATTATCAAACGGCATCTGTTCACACGTCGAGGCACTGAACGCTTTGCTTTGTGTGCCATCGCTTTTATGACCGTTTGTATTCCAATCCAAGCTAAGAAGATCCATTATTTCTAATTTGCATAATTTTAACCTTTTGCCCCCCCCCCCACCTCCCTGTATCACAGGAAGCAGTTCCCCTGTTACACTCAACAGATTCTGACAGAGCACTGCAACGAGGTGTGGTTCTGCAAGTTCTCAAATGACGGCACCAAGCTCGCCACCGGCTCCAAAGACACTACGGTCATAATTTGGCAAGTGGACCCGGTGAGTGTGAGAACGGCCTTAAATAAACATGCGACATCTTCATGACTGTAGTCCACGGCTCCAATGGCCTGCTGCGATGCGATCAGGGCTTTTACGTTGACAGGCAGGTATTTCTTGGAATTTGAGAAATATGCATCGTACAGTAATTTACTTTATTAGAATTTCTCATGGTTAATCTTGTTTATATATAATATGCCTGTTAACACGTGTAATTCTGAAGCATTCTAATTTAAAGTCTTGGATAATGAGAAATTACCTTAGAAATACGTACACGTTTCACCTTTTATCTTCGACCACTTTTTCTCTCTGACGTCTCCAGATTCATCACTGATAATAAATATTTATTGCACCATTAACATGTAAATGTGGTTGGTCATCTCTTTCTATAAGGAACACTGGGGTATGTTTTCTTTTTTTAAGTAGGGTAAATGTGCCTTTTATCTACAAAATAAGAGCCCGGGTCAAATGACGTTAGTCCATTAACAGACTTGTGGAGTATTTGTTAAGAAATCCTTTAACCTTAGACATCCTTTGACGTGAAATGAGGACAAAGGAACCTCAGGCCTGCGGTCTCTTTGACTTTTTTTCCCTTGATGTTCTGAAACTTCAATGGGCTCTGACTTTGGTTTGAAATGGTGTATCGCAGGCTGTGAGAATTCATTTCATCATAATGCTCTTTATGCAGGAGAGCCACCAGTTGAAGCTGCTGCGGACCCTGGAGGGCCACGCGTACGGCGTCTCTTATTTAGCCTGGAGCCCGGATGACACCTACCTGATCGCCTGCGGACCTGACGACTGCTCCGAGCTGTGGCTCTGGAATGTTCAGGTACCATTTACACGTGTCTCACACATGTTCAGGTACCATTTACACGCATCTCACACGCGTTCAGGTACCATTAACACGCGTCTCATACATGTTCAGGTACCATTAACACGCGTCTCATACATGTTCAGGTACCATTTACACGCGTCTCACGCGCATTCAGGTACCATTTACACGCGTCTCATACATGTTCAGGTACCATTTACACGCGTCTCATACATGTTCAGGTACCATTTACACGCATCTCACACGCGTTCAGGTACCATTAACACGCGTCTCATACATGTTCAGGTACCATTAACACGCGTCTCATACATGTTCAGGTACCATTTACACGCGTCTCATACATGTTCAGGTACCATTTACGCGCCTCTCACGCGCGTTCAGGTAACATTTACACTCCCTGCCTGTTTATTTTACCCTCCCCCCCTCTAACTTAATGTGTCTTCTTGATGTGTTTTTCAACCGTCTCTGCCGCTTCTCTTGAGCAGACGGGGGAGCTGCGGACCAAAATGTCCCAGTCCCATGAAGACAGTCTGACCAGTGTGGCCTGGAACCCTGATGGCAAACGCTTCGTCACCGGAGGACAGAGGGGGCAGTTTTATCAGTGTGTAAGTTTTATCAGTGGATGCGTCATTTTCTCCAAAGAGGGTTATTATGATGGAATAATACAGTATTGATGTTGTAATCGATGCTTTGTTGTGTTTGTATGTATATTGATTTACACACAAAAAGAGAATGACATCTGTTAAAAAAGCTGAATTATTGAGTATTGATTTCCAGCCAGAAACCCGTTGAACTTTTCTTCGTTATTTATCTTTAGCACGTTTCCTTTAGGAAGGTTTTGGGCGTTTCTCTCACACACACACACACACACACACACACAAAGGAAAGCGGTTTGACCTCGTAGCCTAACGTCTGGTAAACACTGGTGTCTGTTTCAGGACCTGGACGGTAACCTGTTGGACTCCTGGGAGGGCGTGAGGGTGCAGTGTCTGTGGTGCCTGGGGGACGGCAGAGCCGTGCTGGCCTCCGACACCCACCAACGTATCAGGGGCTACAACTTTGAGGACCTTACAGACAGAAACATGTATGTAGCCGCTCTAATAATCCCCCACTGTCTTCTATCTAGACTGGCGTTGAATTTGCCCGATGGCCTGTGTCTTGTCTTCTGTTTGCAGAGTTCAGGAGGACCACCCCATTATGTCTTTTACTGTTTCAAAGAACGGAAGATTAGCTTTGTTAAATGTAGCAACTCAGGTAAGTTTTCTACCAACTCCATTGTCATCAATACATGAGATTCATTTGCTTCTAAAGAGCACGTTGGTTTGAGAAGAACTGCCGGATGTTCAGCACTTCATAGGCTGTTGCTCTGCTAACATTCTGTAGGGAGTTCACCTGTGGGACCTCCAGGACCGGGTGCTGGTGAGGAAATACCAAGGTGTGACCCAGGGCTTCTACACCATCCACTCCTGCTTCGGAGGACACAACGAAGACTTCATTGCCAGTGGCAGCGAAGGTACAGTCCGCTGCCTCCGCCGCCAGACCAATGTTGACAGCTCTTTGTACTCCCACGTTTTCGTCTCACTCTGTGGGCATTGGGAGCGTCTCGCTGGGAGCATTGTGCTTTAATATAAAAGCAGCGGGGCCTCCGTGTGACGTGGTTGGTGTTTACTCACATAAACACTTCAGAATCCTTCGTTGCAGTGATTGAAAGTGTTTTTTTCTCTTTAATCCAAATCCCTTCACTTCCACCTGCCCGGTTGCCGTCTTTTGTCCTCCCCTCTCCGCAGACCACAAAGTGTACATCTGGCACCGGCGCGGAGAACTTCCCATCGCCGAGCTAACGGGCCACACGCGCACCGTCAACTGTGTGAGCTGGAACCCGGCCATCCCGGGACTCATGGCCTCCGCCTCCGACGACGGCACGGTGCGCGTCTGGGGTCCTGCACCCTTTCTCGACACACAAGAGGCGGACGGGCTCACCGGTAACTGCCAAATCTAACTTCCCCTCCCGATAGCGCGAGTAAACGTTGTCCTTTTTACCGCCGAAATGATCGTCGCGGCTTTACGGTAAAAACGTCACAGCTGTGATTAATGTTCTTAAATCACAAGGCGTCTCTATATTTATATATTTGTCTTTTTCTTCTCAGAAAACTGCAGTAACATGGACAGTTGATAGTCACTTGTGGAGCAGATGACATCTGTCTTTAACAACAATCCAAGAATCCCAGAATAAAACTAAATCCAAATCCAACACCGACCTAAAGCAAGACAAGAATAGCTAACAAAAAGTCACCAAGACAAAAGAGAAAACAAAAGTGGGAAGAATTTGTCTCCTGACGGGCCTCGAGAAAACGGTGGAGGTGACGCACGGACACCCTGAAAATTCGGGTCCTCAACCAAAACCTGATCCCGACCAGGAGGAAAGCCAGTCGGTGCCCGGCGGGATACGACCCGCTATCTACTGGCGAGCTGGATGGACTCGTTGTCCTGACCCAACCGAGCCGTCTTCCCCCACCCCGCTACATGGGCACCGGCCATGCAAGGTCCTCGTTGCCCAGGAAACCCGCCTCCACCTTGAGCCTGGAGCACATCGAGGCCCAGTGATGCTTCCAGACTGACACCGCAGACCAGCCGTCTTATCATTGGACTACACCTGTCTGCCTGTTTGTCTCACACATCACCTGTATGATGTCTCCATGGACATGGGTGGGGTGATGTTGGGGGAGGATGGTGCGTAGGGGGATATAGCAACTCTTCTGTATGTGTATTCTCCTCTTCCCCGCGCTCTTGCTATATTCTTCGCATCCGATCGGTTGGAAAAAGGCTGAAAAATCCGCCGTGAAAAAAACTGACCGACCACCTGACAAAGAACACAAAAAAGGCTATGCTAAATGTTGGCGTTTTTTTATAATAGTCATAGCGTAATTCTCATTTAAGAGGTGAATCTTAGCTGAAGTAGTGCCGTGGAAGGCTTTAGCCTGAAGATTCCACTTTGTGTTTCTCGACATTAGAAAAAAACAAACTTTTAATTCCTTAATTTAACTTCTAACAAAGGACAGTCGCTGTAATGTCAGCTGACACCCCCCCCCCCCTCGTCCCCCCCAGTCCCGCTCCCTGACCCCCCCTCCCTCTGTCGAGCTATCTACCGCACAACTCCATTGCGTCCTCCTCGGAGGAGGAGATGGACGGTTCACATATCAACGGTGGGGGGGTCGGACGTTTCCACTGTCACATGACCGCAACCCAAAAGACAAGTCACGCTTTGAGTGCAACTTTGACTGCACACGGGTGACTGCTGCCCCCCCCCTGTGTGTGTGTGTGTGTGTGTGTGTGTGTGTGTGTGTGTGTACATTTGTTCGTGCAGGTGAAATTGCCGCTTGTTTTTTGTATGCGTGTTCAATTCACACCAGCAGAAGGTCCCCCCCCCCCCCCCCCCCCCCCCCCTCTGAGCTCCTAATCCCATAGTAAAATTGTAAAGAGGATTTTAACCCAATTCTAAGTTATCCAAAGCCCCATCGGGACCTTCATCTGTGGAACAAGGAATATGTGAGAGCCGTTTTGTGAAAGAAATCTTTTCTTTAATCTGGGGCTTTAATTTTTACATTCTAATTTTTTCTGTCCTTTACCGAGTGGCACTGAGTTATTGGCGGCGGATCGCCCGATGTGGGCAAAAAAGGAAGGAAGGAAGATGGGATGAGCAGTTTGAGCGAGGCGCGTTCCGAAGAAGCTGTAAAACTGTTGCGTTGTTAGTCATTTCATACAGGAAGTTATTATTGTAATTACAGGACGAGTAGTAGTTTGCACGGCCGTAGAGACGAGAGGCACCAACAACCACAACCCCCCCCCTTCCCCCCAAAATCTGCCTTCATACAGTGGCACACAAACCTTCAGTCCGTATGACCCCACCCCACCCCACCCGCCACCAACTGCACTTTGAGGGGTCTTTTTGCTCTCTTGCACCTACTGCATTGGCATGAATCCATGAGGAACCTCCTCAGCCGCCGTTCTGATCGCTCAAAGGTTGCAGTGAAAAAGACTCGAGACGTGACGGGACCTTTGCAGAAGGACTCGAGCCTCTATGCACCCGAAGGCAGTGACCGATCGTCTGGTAGACCTTGTGGAACTGAGCGTGGCCCTCAGAGGGCATAGAGCAGCCTGAGGGCCACTCGTGGGACTTAGAGAGAATTCAGCGTTAACACCCCCCCTCACCTCACCCCCCCTTTGCTCTCCGGCCAATTTACTCAGTGGTCAGTGCGCCCCATTCACAGCTTTCCTCCTCCCTTTTTGAGGGTATGTAATGACTATTTGCTACAGACTGATATACAGTAAAACATGTTTAAAATCAGCGCTTTTCTGTCTGTTTTTATTGAACTTTTTTGTTACTTCAATTTTTTTTGTTCACATTATATCATTTTTTGGTTGACTATCCCTGTATGATCATATTAAAATATAACCAGACCTTTGGAGTCCTTATTTCTTTTTTTAGTCTTTATAACCCCCCTGTTATTATTTCATATATTTTGTTTGTTTCTTTGTGTTCAGTTGCATTTTATCTTCTAATACAAATGAATATGCACAGTAACAACCAGGCCAATTCGAGTGGGGAGAGTTTCTACAGAGTGTGAAGCAGGTTGGAGCTGATCCACCTCTAAAGGGTTTCCTTCATGTGCTGAGACGATCTCTCTCTGTGCCATTGTTGAACCATCCAAGTCCCCTGAAAGCACACTGCTGTTTTTGGGTTTGTTTTTTCTGCCGTGTGTCGTGGTCGCTTGTGTTCACACTTTGGAAACCTGTGTCTCAACTCCTGGACTGCAGCATGGACTCCTCTTCCACACCGGACACTATTTCAGACGACTAAAGTCAAATCGCGCACATTAAACCCCCCAACCAGAGTTCCAGTAAAGCCCACCGTTCGCCCGCGGGGAACAAATGCTGTGTCTGTATGAACCTTGTGTTTGCTCTTCTTTCGTCTGAGACTTCCACCAGTTGTTTTTGATGAAACTATGTCTTATTTCTCTCAGCGGTGGTGGGTGGGGGGTGTTAAGGGCTTACTGTAGCATCTCTAAGTTCCTTGGGATACGGTGGGACGGGGTGACGTGTGGCTTTTGCGTTCAATGTGTTATTTACAAAAGTGATTGTACTGTTTTGTAACGTTGTGTAGGAAAAGTGTCACGTATGCATATTTTCAATAAAGCATTCAGGGTTTTGAAAAATGAACGGCCGACGGGAGTTTGATGGGACGTTAAGTGGTGGAGGCCCCCGAGAACAACGACGTTTTAACCCTCCTTAAACACACGAAAGCGCCTCGGCCCTGCATCCCGTCTCTGAGCAGAGCGCGTGGTACACGGTGTCCACGTTTGACTACACGTTTATGATGCCATTTCAGACCATGAAGGCGCTATCTGCAATGCAATTACGTATGCTGAAAGCAGTTGCCAATAAAGTGGCATTATGTTGAGTAAGTCTTATTTTCGAATATTTTTTAGACACAAAATGTTCAATATAAAAAATAATTCTAAGTAAATAACACAATCATGGAAGTGTGAAATATTCATATGCATTTTTTAACATTCTTTGCAGGCAGGTGGCTCTGGTCTTTTTATCTTGACTGATATTGGCTTTGTGGTGTAAAGTGGTTTGAAAAAAAGTGAGTTTGGGGAAAATGTTTGAACCTTAAGAAAGAAACTCCTGGACGGAATAGAAAATGTCCCACAGTCCTTGTCATCTGTCATTTGTGATACATTAAATAATGACATTAGTTTTTAATGTACAGGATAATTCCAGAATAGAGGTTGTATTAAACATGTTTTGTGTGCATCCATTTAATGTATTATTTATTAAATATTGACCCCTGCGGCTTTGCAGACACATCTTTGCCACCTGGTGGTAAATCTGTAAAACAACAACAACAGAAAAATGAAGCCTACTTTAAGTAAAATATGAGAATCGTGGAAGGATTCAAAAAGGACATCGACCCAGTAATAAGACAATTTGAACTGAACAATCGGATGAAGGGATGAAGGGATGAAGACCTGCTCAGCCTTTAAGATCTACACCTCATTAAGATTAGACTTTTAAAGCGAAGGGCAGGATTATTGTCAATACTTTTAGCTCACCTTGTACAATTAGCAATATTACACAAATAAACTGCTCTGGTAGAAATAAAAGTCCTGCCTTTAAACATGCTGGTTTTGGGAATGACCATTTTGAGACAATGTATCTTATGTTACAGCATTCTAGTGAAATCTTTATGCAAGTATCACGTTAATGGTGCAGCTGATGAATGTGGGGCTGATTTTAGTCACTCTGCTTTCAGATTTCCTTTGTTGCTATTTTTTTTGTTTTAATAATCTGATCTGAATATAATTAAAACGCACAACAAAGAGTAAAGTGACAGCCAATGAAAATACTAGTACAAGTACAAGCATCTCATATTTATACTCTTGATAATAACTTTATTTATTTGGAAAATGGATTTTGATAGTGTTAAATGTATTTAGTTGTTTTCCACAGTTGGAAATCAGCCATATGAACCTTCATCCATCTGAGTGGAGCGAAACATTTTGAATTTATTATTTTACTGGAGAAGAGATGCAATGTGTACGCGCTATTTCCTACAATGTACATATACATGTATATTTAGTGTCTAGTCCCGTGTGGCTTAAACTAAAAAAACGAATCAAACCATGTAAAAATCTAGCTGACGTCGGTCTGTTTTGCTCCATCGAAAAGGGGGTGGAGTCCAACGTGACGTCACGCCGGCCCGCCCACTCCTCTCTCTCTCTCTCTCTCTCTCTCTCTCTCGCTCCGCTTCACCGTCTAGTCAAGTGTCTCGAAGCCGACAAACAGAGCTTCGTCGCGGCGTCTAACTGGCCGTCAACCGAACACCCGACGGCAGTCATGGCGGCGCCGTTAGCCCACTTCGACGAGGACTGGCAGGATTTCAACGAGTTTCAGCCGCCCGCGGCGTCGGACGACCGGCTGAACTGTAATGCGGGGGAACCGTCGTCGGGCCTGGACGATTTCTCGGACCTGGACCACAGTTTCTCCGGGGAGATCTGCAGCTTCAAGTCGATGGAGGACCTCGTCCAGGACTTCGACGAGAAGCTGACCGTGTGTTTCCGAAACTACAACACGGCGACGGAAAACATCGCGCCCGTCAAACCGATCACGGAGGAAGACTACCTGAAAGACGACCAGTGAGCGACCACCCCATGACACCTTTATTCACGCTAACTTTACATATTTTAGCTAACGCTGGCTAGCCGCTCCCGGCTAAGCTTAACGGTGTTAGCTTAGCCGCAATCAGTGTTGTCCAAAGTTAGCCAAAGAAAACACACAATCTGTCTCATCATAACAACATCGGTAACGTCCAACGTTTCATTACCAGGTTTACTTACACATCTGGATGTAAGTCTTCATTCAGGCACGGAGAAGTAGAAACACATCATAGTCTCACAAATAATCAAATATGATTAGCTGGCATATTTAGACGATTTAATCATTGACGAATTAAGTGTGTATGTTGCCTCCGTGTGTTTCTCTTTCACTTTGTGTGTGTGTGTGTGTGTGTGTGTCCTGCCACGTTGCCACTTGAGGTCGTGATCTATTGGTTGATGTTCGGCTCTTAAAGCACTGATCCATAACGTTTATAAGCCTAAAATAGGTTGTGTTGCTTCCCAGTAGCAACAGGATCACATGACAACATGTTCTTACTTCCCAGCAGTCAGAGTCTCAGATCCACTGAGTCTCTTTAATCAGCCTCCTGCTGCACATCGCACGGTCCGGCTGTCACGTCTAATCACGTCACGTATGCACGAAGCCGCGGGACGTCCGTCCTGTGTGTGTGTGTGAGAATGTGGGTTCAAATGAGTTGCTTTTGTATTGACGTTGTACTGAACTCTGGTTTGAATGTGAAGTTCGGCGGTTCGTCTCCTGAGTGGGATGAGCGTCCCACTTGGCGTCTTTTAGATGGCGAGCTCGATTGCATAACCATAACATGACATTAGCATCCACGTAGATGAAGGAACAGCGGCGAGGAGGGAGTAGAATAATTGGACTGCAGCGAGGCTCTTTTCTGGGTGGCTGCTCTTTAGCAGGACGCGCTCAGGCGCTTAACGAGTTCTCCAGAAAGACCTCGGCTCAGACGGACAGCGGGGACGACACGCAGGACGGAGGTCCGGAGAGGTCCAGTTGGGTCTGCGTTAAAGCGAAGCCGTGCATGTGGATTATTTAATATACAACACAAACAGCCTCATGCAATCATTAAAAAGTGAGAAAATACACATGAGATGCTCCCAGTGGAGCAGCTGATGGTGTGTTTGGTCATGCAGTCACGTGTCCGACACGGTGTCATTGCTGGAGGCACAAACAATATTTCCTGCCAGGCTTCGCCCTATTTAGAACAACCCTTCGCCCCCCCCGTCCCCGTCCCCGTCCCCCACCCCCGTCCCCAAGCTGCACGAGCACCTCAGGGGGAAACATGCGAGTTATGTAAATATGTGTTTGTTTGTGCGAGCGAAGGAGGCCACAACGACGCAGAGCCTCTCTGACACATTCACAGCATCCGTCCTCGCTCAGGGACTTAAATGTCTACATTATTATTATTATTATTCTCATTATTTTTAAACAGGCACAACGCGTCAGTTTATTTGTTTCCTTATTTAGGACTCGTACAGTTGCAACAACCTTTTATTCTAAAATACTGTTTTATGAAATGGCCGCTAAGCGTCATTTATTTCCTTATAATTAGACGTGTGCGCACTTGCACATATTTTGCAACAACCCCTCAAACGATTAAAAGCCGTATTGTGTACTTGTTGGTTCAGCAGCTTCGTGCCGCCATCTGCTTCGGCTTGATCGCTCCGCCGCCAACGTTCAACATTCTGCTGGTGTGATGACGACGACCCGCCTGAAATCCTCTGTCGACTTTTAAACAGCTCCACTATCTTCTAGGCGCACATTTGGTAAAATGCAGCAAAGTGAATAATGAAGGAGTTGTTTCATTGGTCAGCGGTCTCCGGGGGCCGAGGAGTAATGCTGAGTCAGGGGAAAAAGAGAAGGAAGTCGCGTCCGTCTCCTCAGCTGCGTGTTGTAACCGTGTGGCTTATTAAAGCGGCGAACCCGTCTTGCTCTTCCTGCAGCGTGTGGAACGCGCTGACGGACAACTATGGCAACGTGATGGCTGTGGACTGGAAGACGTCGCACACTCGCTCCCTGCACCTGCCCACCCTCAACATCTCCGAGCACGAGGTACGGCGAAGACACAGGCCCCCCCCACCACCTCCCCCCCGGTCCTTCAGTGTTTGTTGCCTCGTCCAAGTTTTAATCTTTTCCTGTCCCTCCGTCTCACATCCCCCCCCGACTCCCTCCTCCCCCAACGGGCAGAAGTCAAACCAGCAGTCTCTGGATCTGTCCGACGACGAGGAGCTCAGGGACCAGATGGATATGCACTCCATCATCGTGTCGTGCATCAGCGACGAGCCGCTCTTCACAGCCGAACAGGTGACTTCTCCCACGTGCACAGCGGCAAAGAAAGAGGCTTCGAACCAGGGGGCGTCCTTAGCGCGGCGGCCCCCGGGTTCAAGTCCGATCCGCGCCCCCTTTGCTTCTCTTTCTCGTCTCTTTCCATTCTTCATCTGCATCAAGTTGCAGCAAAGAAGTCCCCAAATACCCTTTTCGTATATTTTTTTAGCAGGTCGTGATGCTCAGAGCGCTTTCAGTTCCCTTTTTTTGCCTCATGCACACACACGCTCACATTTATTCTCCACTTTTAGATTTCATAACGATCTAAAACCGCTGTCAACAAAGTACAAACCGAGCTAAGTAACTGGAAGCAAACTAGCAGCCCGGCACCAGGGATGTAGTTCTTATAACATCTAATAACTTGTCTTGTCCCTGGTCCCCTTCATGGGGTCCAAGCCAAACATCCGCTGAGAGGAGTTCCAACTCGCCCGGGAAAACCGTCCACAAATTGTCCTGGAAAATGATTGAAACATTGAGTATTACGCACCCCCCCCCCCAGCTATATCACTGTTAAAAAAGACCTGGAGTGTTAGTTCTAGGAGAGCGTGGGACCCCTGGTATGGACCCTCAGGAGGTCACTCACACCTTCGCTTAAAGCCATTGATGAGAAATCCACCACACGCAGAAAAGCGTCTGCCATACGTTTGTGAACGGGTGAACGTTTGTTTGGTAGGTGATCGAGGAGATCGAGGAGATGATGCAGGAGTCTCCAGACCCGGAGGACGACGATAGCCCCTCCCACTCCGACCTGTCCATGCTGTCTCAAGACCTCCCGGGCCTGAAGCGCTCGGGCTCCAACACCAGCTACGAGGACCGTGAGTGTCACCGCGTACAGACGCTTCCAGAGAATAAGGCTGTTAACCCCCCCCCCCTCCTTTCTTTACACACTTTACTGCCATTTGACCGTTATCTTAATCTCTCCATGATGTGCAGCGGGTCGCACTGACATTCTTACGTAATGTGTTACAAAGACGAACCGACAGCAATTACGTCTTTTTCCCACATGTTACATCATCAACGGCCTTTGTTTCTGATGCAGGTTTTAAGAACGAGCTGTAGTGTGTGAACTACAGCTTCACTGCTAACGTGAATACACGTCCTCCTGGTGTTTGCCTCCTATGAACGTGTTTATCTCCTCAGGCCTCCGTCAGCTGTCCGTGTCTGAGCTGACGGAGACGTTGGACGGAGTGGAGACGGCCATTTGCCGCTACAGCGAGGAGCTGATCCAGGCTCTGGCCCTGCGCGACGAGCTGGACTACGAGAAGGAGGTGCTTTCATTTCCTCCTTCTGGAAAGAAAAGACACTAAAGTGCATTTTAAATGGTAGATGCTCGTCATTATAACGTAGTCTGAGGGGCCGGTGAACATCAGCCTTATTGTTGTAAATGTCAGAGTATTTTTCGCTCCGGATAAAAATAGGATTCTTTTGCAGCCGTGAATAAGGAACTTCAAAAGTCAGTTTGATCCTAAAAAAACCAACTTGTTTTGTCGAAAAACCAAACAGGTGAAGAACAGCTTCATCTCGCTGCTGATCGACGTGCAGAACCGACAGAAGGAGCACCGCGAGCTGCTGCGCAAGAGGAAGAAGGTCCGAAGTACGAGCAGCACCAGGCCCAACGGCCAGAGGACGGGCAGCACGCACGTCCCGGGCACGGTGGGTCACGTCTGCTCCGCGCGCACCGCCGCTTCCTCCAAGCAGGCACGTGTGCATGAAGCGGGGGAGCTGCTTTCACTCTTTTTCCTCCTCTCTCTAAAAATAGAACCTCTCCACTCTTTCCTCCCTTGCTGTTGCTCCTTGTAGCTCCTCACTCTGGAGGGACTCTCCAATGTCATTCAAAATGGCCTCCGTCAAACGTTTGGCCACCCAGCAGGGGACAAGCAGGTGCCCCGGCTCTTTCTCTACACTCGCATGGTGTTTCTTTGCTTTTTCCATTTGTTTGTATTTTTATTTCTTCGTCCCATGTTTCCGTCTCCACAGCCGCTGCTGCCTGTTGGTGTCAAATGTTCTATTAATTCCTCCTCCCGTTTTCTCTTTGCATGATTTATGTTCTTTACTTTCCTGTCGGTTCATTTTGCGGCTTTATTTGTTCTCCGTGTTTTATTGCCTTTTGTTTCAAGCCGAGGGGACTGTTGCGTAATAATCTTCATCAGCCTCTTAACGCTTTGCAATGAAAACATATAGATGGACTTTCGCTGTAAGTGACCCTTTGCTAAGCTGCTGCTCCTCCACGCTCGCCGGTTCCTCTTTTTAAAGGATCATTTCATCTGAAAGGTGATATGAGGGAAGCAGGCAGAAGGTTTACAGAACAGTAAACCCACAAACCAGCTTTAGAATCACGACCATCTCAAGCCCACATGAGAGTCTGAGGAGCGGATAGCTGTCGGACCCTCGTCGCTGCGCTGTGATTGGCCGGTCTGCGTTCGAGGGGCGGGACTTAGTGACGGGTCAAACCTCCACTTAGTAACAGGATTACTGCGTCTCACACCATCTTCTTTTTACAGTACCTGACCACAGTAATCCCGTACGAGAAGAAAACTGGCTACCCAGCAGTGGAAGACCTCCAGATCCTCACAAAGAGTGAGTGCACGCACATGCACATGCGCATGCACACGCACGCACACGCACGCACACGCACAGGCACGCGCTGGACGATGACACAATTTGACGTCTTCTTGTGAACAAAAGTTAACTCAATCACAAGCAAGGTTCTGTGTTTTTAAACGTATGTGCTGCTCTCTCCTCGCTAGTCCTCCACGCCATGAGGGACGACAGCGAGAAGGTCCCTGCGCTGCTGACTGACTACATTCTGAAAGGTAAACACGGACCCTCGGTCCCGTCTCACTGCCTCCCCGTGTGTTTGCTAGCTGAACAATCCCGCATTCAGACGCCTTCTACCCCGTTGGTGCAAACGTCACATTTTCACTTTGAGGGAAGCTGATGGTAGAAAAGCAAGAAAGAATCACTGGTGACCTTTGTGTCCTTTGTCTTCTGTCTGCTGCATTGTCCTCTGGTAGCTCTGGTGTGAGCGCAGTGGATGCTGGAGGTTTGTGAGGCGCTGACACAGTAACGCAGATTCTTCACCTTCAGCCTTCTCTTCAGAGCCCCCATCTGCCCCACATCTGCCCCCCCATCTACCCCCCCATCTGCCCCCCCATCTACCCCCCCCCCCTCTAACTCCCATCACTTCACTGTAGTTCCCATCATGCCCCTGAAAAACATGAACAGGCTCCTTTTACAGCAAGCCGTTATCAGCCCTCACCCGTCTTCCCCTCCCACCTGTCTCTCCCCCCTGTCTCCCCTCCCACCCCGTCTTTCCCTCCCACCCGTCTTTCCCTCCCACCCGTCTTTCCCTCCCACCTGTCTCCCCCCCGTGGCAGCTGCTCCTCCATCCTTCACGTGTCTCAGTGGTCATCTGAGCGGCTTTGATCACAGCCCCCGTGTTCTTGTCTCCACAGTACTTTGTCCGACGTGAAAGCTTCCGTCGGACCACCAGAAGAAGGTTCCCCCACTTCATGGATTCACAATCTAAATCTTCCCGTCTCCCCTTTTTCCGCTTGTAAACTTTGTGGCTTTGTTATTTTTGTTTTCCCCGGCCACTGTTTGTTTCTCCTAAGATCTTAACTTTAGATTTAACTCTTTTATATTTATTTTCATATGTGATGTTTTATCTTCTTGCTGATGGACGCCAGTAGTCCGTGTCGTCACTTCCAGATTATCTCCTGAATGGAGCCGGTGGGGTTTATTTGTGAGGGCGGTGCAGTCCAGCCTCTGTTTAGTGCATCTCATGCATCTACGTCAGTGTCGTTCAGGCCTGACGGAGGAAACCGCCTCTGACCGAATCTGTGACGAACCTCCAGCATGAATCCTTGTTCTGTTCCTGTAGGGAAACATTTGCTGACGGATCACGTGTAATATCTCGGGGTTAAAGAGATTCATATTTTTAAAATGCAGTTTCTGGGGTCAAACTGTCTTACAGGCCGGTTTGGGTTTTGAAGTTGAATGTTAAAATGAAATATTTTGTATACGAGAAGAAATTGCACAGTTTTTGAGACTTAACTTTTTAAAAGCAGGAGAAAGAAGTGAAGCGACGTCAAACGGCTGCACGAACAAATAGATGAAGCCTATTTTTGGAGAAAGAATAGTTTATTGGAGAGATTAGGGACTCGCCCCCTTTTTTGTGACCACATTGCAAAACAAAATTGAACAAACGCTGTCCATTGACCTCCGACCCCCCCCCAGCAGTGCCCCCCCGACTACTTCACCACCTCCCAGGAGCCGTCGTTACACGAGTCTGAAAATACCTCGTACTAGTCCTTTGCATCCGTAGAAAAAGGTCGTACCGTTAAATAAATGTATCGTGCTGAAGATGTTCGGTCTGATAAACGTGTAGATAAGCTTCACTTCCTGGTTTGTTGTCTGTTAACCTCTGACCTCTGGGGAGGTTTGGTAGTAGCACTTTACCCGCCGTGTAGTAGTGGAATATACTTAGAGTGCGTCTCACCAGATTAGTGTTGGACAGCGGTGTCCACGTGAGGGACGGATGTCCTTCGTCCACCTCGTCCCTGTGTTCGTCATCACCAGCAGGTTAAACAACCCTACAGCGTACTGCACTGGATCAACACGTTACCGTGGGAGTGGATGTTGGAAGATCAATCTATTGAGTTGCATCATGGGAAATGTAGGTTCTTATCTCATCGAACCCGTGCAAGTCCCCCGAGGGGTCACGCCTGCGTTGCCCTTTAAAAAGCTAAAAGCACCAGGATCCAGGGTCACCTGGTCACCTGGTCACCGGGTCACCGGGTCAGAGCATCAGCTCGTGCAGGTCGAGCTCTCAGGTAGAATCATCATCATCATCATCATCATCGGCGGCTGAAGCGCGTTTTCAGAGGTACCGGCCCCCCGGGTCTTTCTGTGTCTGCACTTTTATCTTTCTACAAATCTCTGAAGACCCGGACGAGGCAGCAGAGGATCGATTAGAGCCTCGGGACCCGGGTCCGTTACAGACGTTGGTGGTTCGGGCTTCGGGGTCCTGAACTCGTAGCTAGAGATGAAACCGTAGCATCCGTTGGGAGGCCGAGTGATGATGGGTGCACCCGTAACATCTAACGGCGAAAACAGGATTCCACCTTTTTACTGGTGGAACATTTGGAGCGTGTCGCGTTGAAGCCGAAGAGGATTTAAGTTCATGGAAGTTGGCAAAGCTGCACAGCCGGTTGCTCAACGCTGAGGCGCCCGCTTGAATCCTTTGTGGCAGACGGAGGCGCGTAGAGCCGTATTTAACTCTTTCTACGTATCTGTTGTTCCAACTGCTCTGCAAACAGTCCAGCATGCATTCGTCTGGTTTACAGTTGATCTCACACTAAAGGGACACGTGCACGTTGCTGCGGGAGGCAGAAAACGCATTTAACTTAAACTGTTGTCTATCGAAGGACGGCAAAGATCACAAGACTCGTGTCTGTGAAACGTCCCTCTGTTGATGCTCATTTTACAAAAGCTAAAAGTCTTTTTGGTTTTGGATTTGAAATGAAAGTTCACCCCTCGGCTGGTCTCTAGTGGTCCGACATATCAGTGTAACTACAATTTAGAGATTTATATTTATATATATGTTCAACAAAGCGAGCAACAGAAAATAAGCTGCCTTTGTAAATGCCTGGACATTTTGTACATTAAACCGACTCCTTATGTTTTTAATGAAATACTATTATGTTTCTCTCATATGGTACTGCAGTAAATTAATTTATTTTGTAAATGTTCTGTTTTTTTAACCATATTATTGACCGTAATGGTACATGTGTTTGTGTGCCCACAATGCATTGCAACTCATTTCAAATAAATTCATATGTGATGAATTCTGTGTAGTTTTTTTCTCGCTTCTGAGAGAGAAAATAGTGAAAGGTTCCAATGTGTTTGCAATTTTAGTCCATATTGTACCCAGACACTGTCCCTGCTGTTATGCTATGATTATATATTTATTTATATATATTATATTACTTGCATCTCTCACTGCGGCAGCTTGCAGCGTCGTTCTCTGCTCAGGTGCCACGACATCCTCACACAGAAAGTGCTTTGCTGTTCTTTATTTACTGATATTAAAGCATTTATTAACATGTTATTTCAGTTATTTTTAGTAAAGACGGTGCGAGTTCACAAAACGTTTCCTGCTTCATCGCCAAAAAGTATCCAAATATAAATCAGGATAAAAAAATTTTAAATGACACTTTTAAAAGTACTAAAACCAAATAGATGAATTTGTTCGGCCGTGTCTTTGGTTTGTGTCTGTTTCTTCCACGTGTTGTTTCTTTTCATGTCGGCGCCGTAGCAACAGCTTCCTCCTCCCGGTTGCCGTAGTTACTCCAGTGATGTCGTCACGAGCTGCGTTACTTTTGTCGCCGTGAGACAGAAGCCCGCCGGACACGCGGGGTTCAAAGGTCGTCCTGGGCTCACAGGTTGGTGTCGGTGAACATGGTGTGCTCCTTCCTCACCGTGCTGAAGCCTTTGACGGTGTCCACGAACTCCTCGTCGTCCATGAACTGAAAGGCAGGACACAGCTGTGTGAAAACCGACCAGCCGATAACGAGGTCTCCTCTCAGCGGGGGGTCTCTCAGCGGGGGTCCCGGCGCTCACCATCCCGCTGTCGTGGCCCGAGATGTTGGGGTCCCACGCGTCCTCGTCTCCCGTGACGGACTTCCCGTCCATCACCTGGCTGACGCTGCGTCTCAGTGAGTTCACGCTGAGGATCTCCAGCTCAGCTGGGGGCGTGACCTCATCCGGCGCCTCGCACTTAGCGTCCAGCACTTCCTTTAGAGAGAGACAGGATTTATTTATGTGAGACGCTGCATTTGTTTGCCCGTGTGCGTGTTGTTTTACCTCCATCTTCATGGTGAAAGCCTTCAGGGTCACGCCGCTGGAGAAGCCGGTGGTGTCGGGCATCGTGTTGAACTGAGGAGGAGAGTGAGACTGATTCACGCGTCGGAGGTCAAATCATCTCACTGGTGTTACGGAATAACAACGTGAATCACTATCGTTTAATTACTGTTTAAACACAATTCAATGCATTCATTCTGTGTCCAAAGTCTCCCATTGCTTCACCCAAAAATGATCAATTATCAAATTATTAATTGTCTTTTGTCTATTTTTGCTTCTACTGCCGATTAAAAGACTTTCATGCAGAACTTACACATCACACATGCAAAGAAATATGAAGAATAGGTCACTGAGGATGGCGACCGATATCTAGTTTAATACTAAATATAAAAACAACTTCTTTATAGAGACAAGCTGTGTCCCGGTCTGCAGGTGTTTCTGCTGGGACGAAGAGAAGAAGACAAAAGTCCCCTCCCCATGACCGAGTTGCTGGCGGAATAAACGGCCATGGGGTTCCTCTTCTTCATGGGCAGAGCCACCAGCGGGGGTCTCTCTCTGCTGAAGGGGGGTCTGTTGAGGGCCTGGCGGTGGGGGGGGGGGGGAGACACACGCTGACCTCTCAGTATCCGCGTGGTGCAAAGTGAGGCTCGCTCACCTTGTGCAGCGTCACGCCTAACGCGACGGCGAGCAGCAGCAGGGCGACGGCCGCCATCAGCGCGATGAACCACAGCTCCCGGACGAGCGGCTGGTCTCCCTGACCCCCCTCCGCCCGCTCACCTGCTCCACCTGCTCCACCTGCTCCTGGAGGGAAGGACGGCGCGTTCAGTCTGGAGTTTGACCTTCTCGCAGTCATCCAGTTATTAGAAAGTGGTGGAAGCATCTTCTCCTTCTCCATATTATCATATAACCAAAAGCCATTAATCTTCTCTAAACGTGTCCAGTTAGATTTATTCTGCCCGGCTTTTCATTTGATCACGAGTGGACGGTGTGACGGGTAGAAAGACGATCACTGTTGGACGAGATGTGACTGTAACTGGAGACTTGTTCTGATGGCACCACCCTCCCTGCTCAGACCCACGGGGCGCTCCATCAGCCCTGAAAGCAGCACCACGCCGCCGAGGTGAGTGTAGGGATGCTCCCAAAGAAACGCCGTAGCTTTCACAAATTCCTGCCCTCAAACCAAGAAAGAAAGGACGCTGTCCGCCCAGAGACTCACCGGCGCCGGGCTCCGTGGTCGGGCCTGTTGGGGGCGGAGCTGGCGGCCCCCTCGCTGTGCGATGCATCGATCAGAAAGGCAGAGACCTGCCGGCTGTCCCCATCAATATTTCACACCCTGATGCTCCGCGGCAACACGAGGACGGGCCTGAGACAAGTGTCCCCCGCGTCCCGTCTCTCGTCCGTGAGGTTGGCGTTTCCTGACGAGCATCCGGGGGGGAAACGCCGTGTCTCGCGCACGCTGCCTGTGGTTCTGTCTCCAAAAAACCCCCAGAAACCTTTGCTTCTTTTGTTCTTTTAAGCAGTGTCATGGCAACAGGTGTCGGGTTTCTCTTCACCCGAGAGGCCTCGTAGCGACACATCAGCCCTCTGGCCGTGTGTGTTCTCTTATGTTGAGACGCGGTGCCACAAGAACACAACACACACAACGTGTTCCCTGCAGAGTCAACATGTGTTACAATTAGTCCGTCTGTGTATGAAGAGAAACCATAACGCAGATAAATGTTCTAGTCCAGCTGGTTTTCAGGTGTCTGAAGTTAGTAAGTAGTACTTTGGTTAAAGCCATGTTTTTATGGATTGGTATTTAACCTCGTAAAACATTTACTCGGATGCTCAAATTCGATTGATTTTGCCATAATCCTTTTAAATTCACACTATTGTGTTTATTGTGATTATCTAAAAAGTAACAGTGAGATTTTCTCTCTATCAGAAATACTGTTGCTCACAAAGCGATTCTTCTGACCTCATCGCTCCAACCCGCGTGATGAGGTCACGGCGTCTGACGAGGTCACGGCGTCTGATGAGGTCACGGCGTCCCCATCGCACCGAGCTGTATGACCACACGGTGGCGCCGAGCAGCAGCTGCTGTGAGTCCAGCAGCCTCTCACCTTCAGTCCCATCTGCTACTGCAGCCCCCCCCCCAAAAAACAACAACCGAACCCTCCTCTCTGATTTGTGGTCTTGTTTTCTCGTCACAATGTGTTTGATTTGCTGTTTTGTCCCCGGATTCATTCATTCTAAAGTGTTTTGCTCTTCACCTTCTCGCTCAGATGTTTGACCTTCACGCTGCACCAACGTGTGTGGCAGCCAATCGAGGTTCAACCTGCAAAGAACATCGGAGCCTTTTAGGTCGTAAAACACATCTGGAGGAGATCTCGACCTCTGGAACCCTGTGGGTTTGTAGAGAAGCTGCAGGGGGAGACAGAAACCAGCAGTGGAGATACAAGAGTTCATTTCCATAACCTGTAAATCATGAAATCTAAAACCATTGCATGATTATTTTGGGTTATCATTTCATTTGTTGGCTGAAACGCAGCGAGCTCTTTGCTCTCAGCGACGGCGACTTAATGTTACCAAAACAAAGTGATTGTTTGGGACTTTTCGGCCCGTCCGGCTCCAGACAGAACCACGGGGGGGGGGGGGGGGGTCCCATTAACTAACTGCTCATTTGATTTAGTTTTCCTTCCCCCTCTAATACCCTCATCAGCATTCATACCTCGCCGTGATGATTCGGGACAATGCTCTTTTATTGAGGAAGTGATCTCACCCTTAAGTGCCAGAATCAGCCTTTTCCTTTTACGGCCCGTCTCCTCGGGGCCTCATCCATCACCGAGGTGTCCGCTGGACACGTACTAACTCGTTTAAGGACAGGGACACACGGGGACGGATCACTCAAGGCAGCTAACTCACTTACTGACGGCTGATGTGGTGAAACGTCACGGTTCCCTCGGTGGGCTCCTCCACTTTCTCAACACGGGGACAATAAGGAGATTATCGTCGGTCCCGCTGACGGATGAGGTGGGAGTTAAAGGACAAATTCACTTTGTCCATTCAGCCGTCCTCCGTCCTTCTGGGTTTGACGGCCGTGTCTCCTCACCTCTTCTTCTGTGTACAAACTGATGTTTCCTTTATTGACGGTGAACTCAATCAAAAAACAGGGAATCCTACTAAATAAACGCTTGTTCGCTCAATAGTGGAACGCTGCATTTTATTGCAGCAGGACTTTAACATGTGCACAAGTTTAAAGGTTCTATTTGAAGTGATTTAAATGTATTTATTCATTGTTTCTTATTGTCAAACCGATCGTCACTAAATACTGAGATCTTTCGCGACTTTTTTTATGTTTCTAAAAGCTTCTGAACGAGACGTTTTTCTGAATAACTTTGGTATCGCATTTCATATCCTGTGTAGTACGATGGGGGTTTAAACTGGTAATTATTGCTGAGTCACTGGTTTTGCTTTGTTCTATTTGACCCATCGGACTGAGTATTAAAAATACACGCTGTGGTACACAAGTTTCTATGTAATATGCCATAAACAGAAGTAATACTATACCATGTTGATACATGTGAAAGACGGCACAGTCAAGTAGTAAAGTAGTACTATTAGTGTAGTATGAAAAATGTAACAACATTATTATGAAGGGTAAAAAGAAATGTGTTATGCATGTACTACTTATGTTAAATAGGGTTGTTTAAATCAAAACAAGGGCCAAAGAAATATGCGTATATATATATAAGTATGTATTATTATGGTACTGTGCTGATCTGATGAGTCGACCTGATGACCAGCGCTCCCTGCAGCCCCTGTTGGTCCTCATTGCATTACAGTTAATTATAAATCTCCATCCAACTGAGACCTGAGGGCCTTAATGTGCAATAAATGTGCAAACTTATGAAACGGTGCAGAGTGGACCGTCCTCACCGACCGGCCCGCTATGAATCCGTCTCGCTGCCTTTCGCTCTTTATTGAGAAACGTGACACTTGATGAAATGAGCTTTGCATTGAGGGGATTATCTTTATTGCCCAAGAATCCACCTGAGAACAAAACAGCGCGGCTCGTCCACACGAAGCTTATTCGCATCCTCAAACATCTGCGTTGGCATAAGACGCCACGGCCAAACGGACAGTACACACACGTACACCGGCCCACTGTGTCACAAGAATATGCACATCATAGCGTCACGGTACCGGGAGTAAAACCAGGAGAAAGACTTCTCTGGATGTACCGAGTTTCCTTCTTGAGTTTAATCCCTTCATCTTACGGGTGCAGAAAGAAAAGACACATTTCAAATAGAAGTTCACACAAAACACACTAACAGATTAACAGAGCGCCATCACCTGTTCCCCCAAAACTCTACGGCTAAAAGGAAAAAGTAGTGCACAAATTTCATCCTACACGGACATTGTACCGTAGAAGGACATCAGATGCCTCCCTGACCCACGTGGTACAGTACGGCAGCCGGTTCACACAGTTAAGTCAAATCGCCGGGTCTACGGCAGCTCTACGTTATCATCCTTCAGTACTCCAACTAGAACAATGTTGCCTGGAGTTTTATGATGTGGAACAAGTCATCAGTGCTGTGGACGAGCAGCTGGCCAAAATAACTTTACTATCATATTGTTTTAAAAATCTTTGAAAGAAAAGTATTATCCACTGTTTGTTTCAATCTACTCTTCATTAATGCCACATTAAAAAAAAGAAAGAAACAGCAAACAAAACCACTTTTGAATAAATACCACTTTGCTGTTGCACAATTGTATAATGTACCATTAAGTACTCTTTCCCTGAAATTTGCAACGAAAATCAGGAGCCCTGTTTTTGTTAAGAACCACTTAATAGATCCCGTTAGTGGTTTATATGAGAATGAGGTGGACAGACAGATACGCAGCTCTATGGACGTCTTACAGATGGACAGATGCTGGTCTTCATAGTTTGAGTCTTTACTCTTTGGCAAGACGTTCCTCTTCGGATACACGGAACAAAAGCCTTAAACGCACCAGAATGCAGATTAACAGGTTTCAAGGTGGATGAAATGATTCCATGAGCGTATTCAAGTATCAGCTGGTCTTTTGACAGAAGAAGCTCTACGTTTGGCATTTTACTGTAAATATCTCTAGAAGGCGCTTCGCTGCCGGCTCCGTTTGTCGGGCGAAGGAGAGACGACGTCGCTCTGCCAGATGTTCGTCTGCTTGGAACAAACTTTCCCCGGCACGTTTCAAACTTTTCTTTTTTCTTTTCAAAGCTGAAATGGACCAAAAAAAAATACATGGTGTCAAAGCTCACCGTTACCCGTTATCGTACCCCCCCGCCGGTCCCGCCCGGTCCCGCCCCCCCCGCCCCGCCCCCGGCGTCAGGCCTTGGCCTCCAGCAGTTCGAGGAACAGTTTGTGCATGGGCACGCGGCCGTCCTGTTTGATGCTGCAGAAGTGCTGGACGGCCCGAGCCGCCGTCTGGCGGAGGAGGGGGAGGGTCATGATCAGCTTGCCGGCCCGGCGGGGGTCCTCCGGGCGGCGGCTTGCCTCGTGCTCCTGAAGGGCCCCGTGGAGGACGTCCTGGAGTCTCTGTACCGCCTCCGAGTCCTCGATTTGCATGGAGTCTGGGAGGAGAATGGGACAATTACAGTTTCTAACCTGCTGGTGGCGCAAGAAGGAAACTGAAAGATCACCGAAATGATTGGCGTTCATCTGATACCTGAGTTAGCGAGCGCGATGGCCTTGAGGACCACAAACTCCTCCTTCTCCAGCCCCATGGATTTATACTTCTTCACCAGCTGCAGGATGGCGTTGTTGAGGTCGAGCAGCCCGGCCAGCTTGGACTGCTCCTCGTCCATCACGTAGTCCTCGGCGTACACCAGCTTGTCCTCCAAGGGCAGCGAGCGGAACACCACTCGGAGGATCAGGATCTCCATCCAGCCGCTCTGCAGTAGACTCATCTGGTCGGCCAGAGAGAGGGAGGGGAAGCCTGCAGGGACGAGAGGATCCAGATGAGCTCGGGATGCAGAATCAGAACACCAAACATCTGGGTCTTCCGTGACCCCTTGGGGGGACAGAGACAAAGAAGCCAGCGTGGGGGCTCTTTTCGCTGAGCAGGTATAACTTTTAGACGTGATCATCACAACATTTGCATCCGATTGAAGTTTATGTTTTGGGTCATCCAGGATTTACTATCTGCTCCGATGTGACCAGGACCTCCGTGTCTCAGCCTCCTCAGCCTGAAGAGACCTTTGTTCTAAAAGGTATGGAATTGCAACCAATGGTTACTAGCTGCTGGGTGACATCGTTGCCGTGTAGGAGACCAGACTGACCCGTAATATGGAGGAAACCCAGGACGGGTTAAATGGCAACAGAACCTGGAACCCTTTAAACAAATGTTAACCGTTAATTGTATCGTAGCCCAACAATGTTTTTGTCATTAATACATGAAGATAATAAGCACACTGGTATGTAAATGAAACAGACCCCTCAAAGGGCACAACAAGGACACAGAGGGTGGATTTAATCACACTCTGTGGGACACGCCCACTTTGATTGACAATTACACCCCACAGGAGCCTGATTAAGGCCGGTCACGTCCCCCCATAAACCCGCACGCACACACTCACACGCGCGTTTACTGTAATTAAAACAGGTGATTTTATAGGCCGAGGGGGGGGAGGGGGGGGGAGGGCTCTGTGTGTCTGACACCATCGGTGTTTGTTATCAGGATCCGCTGCTCTTTACAATCACCGCGGGGACACGAGTGGCGTTGCCCTGCTACCCCCCCCCCCCCATCCCCCCCCTGATTGATTGGAAACGCTGCCTGTGCACAATTTGATTGGTCGATAGGGATCAGTATTCTGGCACAGGACCATCGATCGGGGACAGAGACCTGGTCCACTGGTCCAAGTTCACACAATGTAGTGACGAGTTCGACCTTCAATAAAGACAAATGAGCGTGTTTTAAAGGGACAAAGTGAAGGGCACTGGGGGCACTGGGGGCACTGGGGGCACGGGGGGCACTGGGGGCACTGGGGGCACGGGGGGCACTGGGGGAGATTTTGCTTGGCAGCGTTAGTTGTAACATATCAACGCAACACGCAGCCAGTAACATCACATCGTCTTTAACGCACACACACACACACACACACACACACACACACACACACACTTGACAGCCAACTCGCAGCGCCGACTCAAAAAAGGGCAAAAGCAGCGGGGGGGCAGTTGGTCTTTAGCCAGCTCGCCTGCATTCCGGCCCTCGGACTTCAGGCCGCGTCACCGTCAATCTGCCCGATGGCAGCGGACGCGGAGGACGGGGGGGGGGGGGCAGCCGGGACCGTTGCCCCGTCACACTCACCTCCCCCCGGGCCAGCGACTCAGATGGCCCGGCCCGCTCCGCCCAGGACCCCGGGTCTCCCGGCGACGGGGGCCTCGTGGCGCGCCACTCATGCGGAGCTGATGTGACACGTTACGCCGTTACGCTGCTGGAAGGCGGCGTCCGTTTGTCTGTTAATTCTCTCTGTGTTGGTTTGTCTCTTCTGTCCTCCTGTCTGTCTCCGTGTCCACAGATTGTCGCTTCCTTCATTTTCTCCGTTATAACCTTTTATAACGTCTTTATCTGCCTCCCTGTCTGTCGTTTTACATCAAATCAAAGATTCCCTGGAAGAACAATTTCAGTAACAGCATCATTTTCTTTGGTAAAAAAAAACATTGAATATATTCTAACAAATGTCTGAGTTTCAAAACTCCTTATTTTCTCAGCACAAATAGTTTTTGATTAAAAAAAAGATGGGAAATGTTCCTCTTCAAACCTTCTTTGATTAACACATTTGACTTGATTATTTCTTCTTCTGAAGAGTTACGTGAGAAGCTTGATGTCACACGCATGTTTGTCCTTGAATACAAGGACAATATCGGTAGCCAGTTAGCCTAGCTTAGCACAAAGACTGGGAACAGGGGGAAACGGATAGCCTGACTCTATCTATCCGTTTATTATTTATTTCAGAGGTTTTCTATCTTGTCCGGCCTGTATGCTAAGCTAAGCTCAGCTTAAAAACACTCCTTCCTTCCTGGTTTTAATGGACGTGAATGGACGAACGAGGCGACTCGCCCTACGGAAGCGGGCCTGTTCTGTGTGTCTGTCCGCGGTGACGCGTGGTGACGTGGAGCGAGCTTGACAGTCGGGTGAATTGGTGGCCTCTCCTTCCCCTCAGGTGGGGCTCCGCTGGCAAAGCGCCACAAACACACCGCCAGTCGCCCTGCGCCACGTGACGCGGCACCAGCGGGAGGGGAGAAGCCGGACAACGCACACTTCATGTCCACTGGGAGGAACAAGCAGGGACCAGCGTGAACGCGTCGACACACACGGCTGCTTTGTTTGTTTTGTAAGCGTTTCAGAGATAAGACATCAACAACAAACAACAGGTGATGTTTGTGTGCGGATGACCACGGCTGATAAAGCGGCCACACCTTTAGAGCCGGGGGGGCTACTGGTGGACAAACATGATTAATGTAGCCATTGACTTTGTGGTCTGTGAAGCAATTCAGATCAATTACGTTTGGAATGACGCAATATTTTCTAATTAATAAAATGACAAACTAATGAAAATGCTCATCAAGTGACGTAAGAGGCTTCTTCAAGCTGCTTGTTTGGGGAAACTTACGGTTCTCAAAAGCATTCAATATACAAAATGAGTTCATTGTGAGGAGCTGCTCAGTAATCGGCCTTATTGATAATCATCATCATTTATCTTTGAATGTGATCGTTCTCTTTACCGCCTTGCATGTAGTTTATTACGGCTTTCAGACTGTTGGTCGATTACAACACATGTCTGTGTTGTAGTGAAGACATTGTTGTTTTTTTTAAATGACCCAAAACACGGCGCTGAAAGTCCTTGCGGCTGAAGTCCCCGGCGAGCGGCGTAAAGGTCTCCGGAGCCGAGCATCAAACCTCTACGATTACAACCGCCGGCATTGCTGCATACCGGCCCCTTAATCCCACTAAGCCGCCACAATGCACTTCCCTCTGCTCCCTCGTCTCCAGCCTTTCATCCCACGGAAAAAATACACCGTGGACATCCTGCTGCTCCCGTGTCACAGGAGACGTGTGATCCGAGCGTCAGGTGGATTTACGTAATTCAGAGGCTGCCGCTGCTCAGGAAATGAATTAACACACACACACACCCCCCCTCGGTGACCTCAGGTCACAACAACCTCCTCCTCTGATCAGATTATGGACTTAGCGGCGGCTGACCCAAACCACGGCGGTACCTGGGATGTGTTTGGCCCAGCCGATGTTGACCACCAGCTCTCTGTCGGCCAGGTCGCACAGCGTGGTCAGCGCCTTGATGTCGCTCTCGGGCACGGTGGGGTCCGGCATGGCGAAGATGCCCTCCGGCTCGGCCACCAGCAGCAGGGACACCACTTTGTTTTCCACCACGCCGCCAACAAAGACTGAGGGGGGGCGGAGAGGACGGAGTTAGAGCGTCTTTATTACCGACAGAGGAAGGCGCAAACACAGACTTGTTTCTGTTTGAAGGAAGTTCTGAATCAAAGGGGATCAATTGGGCCTCTGGAGCTCAACCATTTAAAACCAGCGATGGCGTCGTGTTAAGAAGTGTCTCCACTCAAAACTACGGTTGGCATTGATTGATTCTCGTCAGCATGTAGAAGCTGTGCACGTGATGAAGAGCAGATTAAACGTCTCGTGTCCACGTTCTCCGCTCACACTCACATGTTTTCTTCTGGGGCAGGGCGCTCTGCGGCTGCAGGTACGGACTGTTCTCTGCATCTATTCTCCTCTTGTACTTCTGTCTGCCTCCTCGAACCCGGTCCAGACGCACGCCTGCACGGACACACAGTCACACGGCTCAACGCGGAGGTCACGTTCAAACGGAGAGGCCGCCCGGATGTCGGCCAATCGTCTGCTCCCGTGTCACGGCGACAGGGCGGAGCGGCGTGCGACCCGCCGCAACGCCACACCCGGGAACTTCAGAGCGGCCGATGACAACCGCTCACGTCACCACGGCGATGGAGGCTTAGGAGTGTGTGTGTGTGTGTGTGTGTGTGTGCAGTAACAGTCACCAGGTGCGTCTCGGAGGAAAACGTGTCCAGTGAACGTGACTCGGTGGCGGCGTCGGGTTGCCGGAGCCACACAGAGGCCACAGTGACCCTGAGGAGGATCTATAACGGCACTCGACACCTCGGCGCTCGTTCTTTCCTGTGCAGATACGTGTGCAGATCACCAACATGCACATTTACACAATGTCTTTCTAATCGCGGGACGCATCTCGTCGGGTCGAACGGCTTCTTCGTTTATTGCATCATTGGTTTGAAACAGTATTTGGGTTCATTTATAGTTAAGCAATTACAATAACAACTGTTTTATAGAGTTTCTGCTTTAAGTTAACAGACGCTGGTAAGATGGGATGTGATACGGAGCAGAAAGCCAGCAGGAGCTTCCACAACACCACGTGGAATATAATATAATATATATATATATATATTAGATTATATATATATATATATATATATATATATATATATATATATATATATATATATTATAACGCTGCGACGGGTGTTTGGATGAATCTTTGAAGTCCTTCACAGCAACTTAAGTGAGTTATTTGAAATCCTCCTTGCTGATTTGAAGACTTGTTTGTCTCCACCGGCACATCAATCACAGCCTGAATCAATATATCTAACATCAATCATAAAAACAGGAATTATCCGACAGGAAGTAGTATTCAGCTGAGGGACGAAATGAAGAAGAGGTCCCTCCGGGGGGCAGAGAGCAAGTCCTGGTTACCCTCTCGGCCTTTAGCCTCATCGCTGAGTGAACCAGATCGGACACATTCTGCTACCAGACGCTGGATTCATCTGTGGGGGGGCGTGTTTTGTGTTTTGTGTGCGTCGGCTGTGTCACTGCTCACGGGGGGACGTGCTGACAACAACAAGGCCCAGAATAACTGTGGACGATAACAGACACACCGACCTCCTCTGGTTCGATAAACGCAGACCACGGAGACGTGATCTATTTTTTGCAGCCTTCGTCACTCTGCTGATGGGGGGACGGGCTGGGGGGACGGGCCGGGGGACGGGACGGGGGGACGGGGGTCTGGGTCTTCACACAGGAGGCCTCTGAAGCTCCTCAGCAACGCTCTCAGGATCAGGGACACGGACGTCCAAGCGCTGATCCGGGGTGATCCGGGTCGCCGCGCTCTGCGTCCCGCCTCCGTCCCCCCCGTGTTCAGTGCAGACTCAACGCTCGCGTACGGCTCGCCACACGGGGGACGGACTAACTTTGGGCGGCAGGAAGAGTCGAGACGTCTTTGCTGCACCGCCGACGGGTCATAAAGTCACAAATCAAACGGTCGGCGAGACGTTCGGGTCCACATACATGTTTATTTTCTTTACCGCCGTCGGCAAACTGCGGCGTCGAGCCCTGAACACGTCCTAATCAAATCCCGTCCCGGGTCTCTATGTCTGCTAGCCGGGTATTTAATACGTCCGCGGCTCCTCCGTCCTCTTACTGCGGCCTCTCGGGGGAAGGACGCGTTACGAGACGCGATGCAGCGCGTTACGAGGACGCTTACGACGGGAGTTACGAGGGGCAGTTCGCATTTCACGGAGGTCCAGGAATCCCACAAGGCATCTGGAGGAATTTACGAGGGGGAGGGGAGCAAAGGGGGGGGGGGGGGAGCAAAGGGGGGAGGAGGGGGAGCAAGGGAGGGGGGGGGGGACGAAGGGGGGCGGGGGGAACGGGATGCTGTTGATGCCCCCGCCCCATTAACAGCAGCTAATATAGAGGGATTGCAGACACAGAGGTGTGTGTGTGCAGGCCGGCGTGTACGAACACGCTCACATGAGCAAACCGACACACGTGTAAACACGCTATAAACACGGCAGCAATAAACAGATGCTGATGTGTAGGTGGGATTAAAGGATCCTTCAGGTTTAACACGACTTGTATTTTCATAGTTTTAGCCAACGTTTCCACCGGTTTAGGGTTAGTTGTGAGGGTTTAGGTTAGTTGTGAGGGTTAAGGTTAGTTGTGAGGGTTAGTTGTGAGGGTTAAGGTTAGTTATGAGGGTTACGGTTAGTTGTGAGGGTTAGTTGTGAGGGTTAAGGTTAGTTATGAGGGTTACGGTTAGTTGTGAGGGTTATTTGTGAGGGTTAGGGTTAGTTATGAGGGTTAAGGTTAGTTGTGAGGGTTAAGGTTAGTTATTAGGGTTAGGGTTAGTTGTGAGGGTTAGTTATGAGGGTTAAGGTTAGTTGTGGGGGGTTAGTTGTGAGGGTTAGTTGTGAGGGGTTAGGTGTGATGGTTAAAGTTATTTGGGAGGGGTTAGTTGTGAGGGATTAGTTGTGAGGGTTATGGGTAGTTATGAGGGATATGGTTAGTTGTGAGGGTTAGTTATGAGGGTTAAGGTTAGTTGTGATGGTTAGTTGTGAGGGTTAGTTATGAGGGTTATGGGTAGTTATGGGGGTTAGGGTTAGTTGTGAGGGTTAGTTGTGGGGTTTAGTTGTGAGGGTTAGTTGTGAGGGTTATGGGCAGTTATGGGGGTTAAGGTTAGTTGTGAGGGTTAGTTGTGAGGGTTAGGGTTAAGGTTAATGACAGAGAGGGAATATGGCAACATTTACATTTGGCTGAAATGTTACATTCGTTGTATAAACCAGGACTATTGGCAACAATTTGCATTGAAATCCAATCCAATAGTTTTACTACTTGACGCTGCACACGTTTCATCTCTTCATTATCGCCCAGAGGCCTCACACAGCAGGAGGCCGCTGATGTTTTCCTTTTTGAGTCACTTCTAAATGTGGACAACAACATGTCAGCGCTCAGGCACACGGTCCGACTGGAGCAGCGTTCTGTGTGTGCTACGAAAACACGCCACCGCCACCGGTCCGTGTTGTGACCGCGTGTAAAGGCCGCTTGCGACGTAGAGGTAACATTTTATTCTCAATTGATCTTTATTACATTAATTCAGTCTCTTTAAGAGTATGAATACATTGGGTTGATTGTCCAAGTTTTTCAAACACGTTGTTAAGAAGTCTCGTCCCACTAGTTCCAAGCAGTGACTCGCTTCCTTTTCTTAATAGCTGCTCTGGTTTTGCACTCTCACATAGATTCTCCTGGTTTCTCACACAGGACACACACACACACAGACACACACACACACACAGACACACACACAGACACACACACACACACATTTCCAGAAAACATTTCTGAGGAACGCTGGTGGACCTTTGAACAGTTAGAACCCTCTGTCCATCGCAAAGACACTCCTCTGCATTGTTCAGCCTTGTGTTTACCACACACACAAAGGCCTGCACACACACACACACACACACACACACACACACACACACACATCACACCTGGCACAAAATGTCCACAGTGGCACAAAGTTTAACTGTCAAAGGTTTTGGGTTTCACTGTCTACAGAACTGCTGCAGGTTATCGGGTGAGACGCCGATCGGCGGCTGTTTCCAGGAACGCACAACGGGCGACACAACGGGCGACACACACACACACCTGTTAAAGCCTTTACTCGCTGGCTGCTTGTTTTTTGTTTTTTCCAAACGGTCCCAAGGATAACGTTTGAACCGATGGCAAGAACGCCGACCGATCAATCCCAGAAAAAGCCACTGAAACGATGCTCGGCCGAGGCCTGAGAGCGACCTTTGGTGTGTGCTGACCTTCTCTCAACATGCCCACGGACAGACACTTCACGAAGCGGCACGCCTGGCAGGACTTCCTCCTTCGCTTGGTGATCTCACATTCGTTGGACGCTGGGCAGCTGTATTCAATGTTACCTGGAGGAGAGGAGAGGAATAAACAATGGTTCATGTTTCATCCTTCATTCAGTCAAAAGGTTGATGGTCATAATTGGAGCAGCGGTCACGGGGGCCCCGACCCCCAGGTCCTACAGATAAACGCCGGGGAGACTGGAGGGCCTTTTGTTAGAATGTCTGTTTTGTGACAAATACGTCGGCGTTCGGCCCGACGGCGTTCGGCCCGGTGGTTACTGCCGCTCTCAGCTGCCGCCGGCGATCAGAAACAGGAAGTATCTGACGAGCCAGACGTCAGCGCTCCTCGGCTGATTTTGGCCTTTTGAACCCTCCCACAGTCCGGCGTCCTGCAGAAGCCTAAGACATCGTGAACCGGGCCGAGGGCCCGAAGAGCACGAGGCCATCTGTTCTAAAACAGCCACAGTAATGGACTTCAGCCCGAAGATGTTGACTATACACAAGAGGCGCGGAAGGTTTAACCGCATATCAGCTGTTTGCAAACAGGTATTTTCCGCAGGTGGAGGGGGGAGGGGGGGGGGGGGGGGGGCGGAAGCTTTGAGCTACCTGACCGGGTTCTGTTTATACCCAAACATCCGCACCCTGTTCCTGGTTAAACGGGTCCGTGTGATGCGGGGAAGCATTATGAGTCCGCCCGCTGTTACTGAGCGCGTGGAATGCGTGTTTTAGTGACCCCCCCCCCCCCCTCTCACCCTGGATGGTCCTCTTGAAGAAGGCCTTGCAGGCCTCGCAGGAGGCCACGCCGTAGTGGTACCCCGAGGCCACGTCGCCGCACACCAGGCACACGCGCTTGGCCACCGAGCCCAACATGAACTCACACTTCACCTGGCTTTCCTCCTCCGCAAACATGCTGTAGGGGGGAGAGAGGGAGGCAAAGGGGGAGGAGGGGGGGCGACACGTTTAGAGCACTGCGCTCGGACAAGTGACGGAACCAAGCGAGCCGCGCGGGAGGCCGACCTGTTGGCCCCCGCGCTGTTGGCCGAGCCGGGCGTGTGCGCGTAGAGGCCCGGGGAGTCCAGCCCATTGCCGTGCACGTGGTGGCCCTTGAGCAGCGCCCCGTAGCTGGAGTTGGTGTCCGACGAGGAGCTTCCGGGGCTGGGGTGGGCCGGGCTCACGTCCCCCTGGGAGCTGGGGCTGGAGGGCTCACGCTTTATGGTGGAGGGACAGGTGGGGTCCAGGCCCCTCACGGACATCCTGCCCAGGTGTCTGCAGAGGAGACGTTATCGTTAGGGATCGGATGCGTTCGTGCTGGAGGCGTCCAGGTCGGTTCTATACGAGGCTTAACACAGAAAAACCGTCTGCCTTTATCTCTGGATTCATACGCGTGTTTTCACCCCCCCCCCCCCCTTCAGTCTGCTGCATAGACCAGCGGCTCTCCGTCAGCACGCCGCTCATTGGTGCATTCATGCCTGCGTCCCATTTACAATCTAAAGCGGCCGTTTGTCATTTCCAATCCCCACATATGCAAAGCTGCTGTCTATTAGTCTGCTGCGTGTCTCCCTGTGTGCAGATGTTACAACAGACTCATCTTCACTGTCAGTTCAGATCATCAGTGGAACCAACCGAGACAAATTACTGAGCCGAGATGTTTGTGATAGTTCATTTTATGTGTACGGATGTCAATAACACACACAGACCAGAATACTCCCGTGTCTCGTGTCGTGCCATTGCTGACATATTTAGAAGTATTTTCTATGAATACAACGGCTTAAAATACATTTCCCCGCGTGTCAAAGTCATCATCGCTTTATTATTGGATCGAGATGTGACTACAACAGACTCAGTGTCACCACGACGACCAGGAGAACGCCAGGCTCACGCACACACGCACACACGCACACGCACACACACACACACACACGCACACGCACACACACACACGCACACACGTCGTGGCGTCAGCCGTTCATGTGTGGATGTAAAAATAAAAACCATAGACAGGATACATGTGATCAGGAACATGTTCAAGCTCCATGCGGGCGCACACACACACACACACACACACACACACACACTTGTGTACACCCTTACACACACATTTCAAAGCAAGTGTCTTCATAAACACCCTGACACATACTGGCATGCAAGTGTTCATAGCCGGGCCGACTTTAAAAAGACCCCCACTGTCTCACCTTCTTTCACATGCAGAGACACACACACACACGCACACACACATCCTGACGCGCACACACACTGACATATACACACGCACTTACGCGTGATGTGAGGTGGAAATCACCGTCTGTCTCCTGCCACGTAAATCACAGTTTGCTCGGCCACCACTTCTGTGTTAGGCTGCAGGACTGGCTAGATCTCCACCACCTGCCGAGTAAACCACAGGGCGCGCTGCTTTGTGCCTCCACCAGGACACTGCTTGGTCAGTGAGACGGCCAGACGCCGACCCCGAACTGAGTAACTATGGCAACGTGATCAGCATCTGCTCTCCTGTCAGTGGGGTTAGTTAGAATTATAATCATGGCAAACATTTGCCTCTTTACACAGCAGACACACACACACACACACACACACACACACACACACACGCAGACACACACACACACAGACGTCAGTGTTTAGTCCCCAGCTGATCCTGATAAATGCTGCATTGTATCAACTGTTGTTTTTATTTGTCTTTACTGAAAACTGCTGTCCTGTCTCCTGTCGGCCAGAAACCTGAGAGCAGTCAAACCAAAACAAGCGCCTCTGGGTGCTTAAAGGCCCCGGGGGGGGGAGGGGGGTGAGGGGGGTGAGGGGGGTGAGGGGGGGGGGGGGGTGTTGTTTGCTGTGGCTTTTTACAGTCGCTCTTCCACAATACTTTGTTCAGCCGTAAACATTTGTTCTGTAGCAAAGCGTTCGTTGCCTGTGAAAAAGCTTTTCATCAATCAGAAGTGAATTGCAGCTTTACTTAATCCTTAAACTGAGTCTTTAACTCACCAATAAACCCGGTTCTTACCCCCCAGCCGGTTCTTACCCCCCCCCTCGCTGACTGCCACCCCCCCAGTCCTCTTTGGGCGGCTCTGGTCTCTCTGGTCACAGGCGTCCATGTGGCTCCCTGACAGATGCAGAGTATCTGTCATTGTGATGCATCACGGGCGGGAAGACGGGAAGCCAGTGGGGGGGGGGGGGGGGCTTTCATAATGAAATGGCATTAGTGGGGGCTGATCAGATGTGATGTAATATTCACTCTGACAGATTACTAATCTAGAACTCCACATAAGAGCCCATCAGAACCCTGTTGGTGCAGCTCAGCGGGGGGTAAATCAGAGGGGGGGCGGGGGGGGGGGGGGGGGGGGGGTGTCTGCATGTGTCGGTGGTTATTCAGAGTTATCGTACCTTCACCTCTTTGTGTCCCCAGAATCCCAAACAACTCTAATTGCACCTCGACAACAAAGACCAGAATTCAGCGTGAAACGACGAGGAGACAGAAAGAGAGACGGGGGAGAGAGACGGGGGAGAGAGACGGGGGAGAGAGACGGGACACGCAGACGGGGGAGAGAGGGAGTGTGAAAAGGGCAGAAAGAGAAGGGGCAGTGGCTCATTAACCCGGGGGTGTTGAAAGCAAAAGGGAGAAGGAAACACTCACTTCCAAACGAGCAGAGTCATAATGCGGGAAGGGGGGAGAGGGGGGAGGGGGGGGAAGGAGGGAGGGGGGGAGAAGTGACAAAGAGATATAAAGAAAAGTCAAATCTACAGGCCCTTCGGGAGGTGAAGAGGAGAAGTAAAGCCACATCCACCCTCCTGACTGACCTCGTAGCCCCGAGGAGCCTTTATTCAGGTCAGTGTGCTTTCTTCTTACACTAATGAGCCGGTAGGAGATCAGTGGCACCGTAAGAGCCTTAGTCAGGCTTTGGACCGGGCCGATGGCACGGAGACCAGGGCGCTGCTGCTGGAGGCGGCGGGCCGAGGACACATGGCGTGCCGGGGACACATGGCGTGCCACGCAAGGGGGTCATCTGCGGCCGCCTTCTCTCCCGGTTCTTCATCCGGCTGCTTCTGTCGCCAGAGATCAGCCGACCTGTTCGTCCACTACTTGGCCTCTGGTCCTCTGTTCCTCTGGTCCTCTGGTCCTCTGGTCCTCTGGTCCTCTGGTCCTCTGGTCCTCTGGTCCTCTGGTTCTCTGGTTCTCTGGTTCTCTGGTCCTCTGGTTCTCTGGTCCTCTGGTCTTCTAGTTCTCTGGTCCTCTGGTCCTCTGGTTCTCTGGTCCTCTGGTCCTCTGGTCCTCTGGTCCTCTGGTTCTCTGGTTCTCTGGTCCTCTGGTTCTCTGGTTCTCTGGTTCTCTGGTTCTCTGGTCCTCTGGTTTTCTGGTCCTCTGGTTCTCTGGTCCTCTGGTTTTCTGGTCCTCTGGTCCTCTGGTTCTCTGGTTCTCTGGTCCTCTGGTCCTCTGGTCCTCTGGTCCTCTGGTCCTCTGGTCCTCTGGTCCTCTGGTCCTCTGGTCCTCTGGTCCTCTGGTCCTCTGGTTCTCTGGTTCTCTGGTTCTCTGGTCCTCTGGTCCTCTGGTCCTCTGGTCCTCTGGTCCTCTGGTTCTCTGGTCCTCTGGTCCTCTGGTTCTCTGGTCCTCTGGTCTTCTGGTTCTCTGGTCCTCTGGTCCTCTGGTTCTCTGGTCCTCTGGTCCTCTGGTCTTCTGGTTCTCTGGTCCTCTGGTTCTCTGGTCCGCTGGTTCTTTGGTCCTCTGGTTCTCGTCCCTCGCTTGTCTCCTCGGGGAGGGCGGTGTCGCCTCGTATCTCGTATCCCGCCCCCCCAGAAGACGCCCAGATGGGTTGTTTTGTCAGAGCCGAGCGATTATGTCCCAGCGGACAAAGCGCAGCGGTGACGATGATGATGATTATTATTTTTATTTTTCATATGATTACAGAAAAGGAGAAACGGTTTCTTTTGTTGCTTTGAGCCGTTTCCCTGTTTGATCTCAGCGCTCACCTTCTACAAACAGCGAACAATGTGGACTGTGAGGAACGTGAACCGATGTTCACGGGAAGGAAACCTCACTGGAGCTAAAAGGATTCGTCAAATAATCGACTCATCGATCAACAGAAAATGATTGATCTTCAATTGTGAAATGTTTCTTCTTATTTAACTTACATTGTAGCATATATTTAGACATTGCTAGATGAGCGCAAAGAAGCATTTTCTCATATATTATAGACGAGGAATTGATTATTCAATAAGAAAATTGCCATATAATGAAATGCTGCAAGATTAAGAGACAAGTTTTAAACTGCTGATAAATGACAAATATTTGCAGCAGTTCAAACAGAGATATATCATAATATAACGTAAGGATGCTTGAGCTTTGACAGAAAACGGACTCTTTGAAGTATTGAGCGTAATACTCGTGCAGCACGACACGTGTTCGCCACAAACACTCAACACAACGTCCATCAATCAAACATGAACGCACATGTCATCCGAGTCGCACACATCACGAGGAAGCAGCCGGACACACAACTTTCGCTCTCGCTCGGCTCCCCCCGAGTGACCCTGTGGGGTCACAGTGACGGTGGAAGGTGAAGGTACTTACTCTGTGTCAGAGTGATAGGTGAAACACTCCGGGAGGTAGAGGTCGACTAAATCCATGTGCACTCTGCCACCATGCTCTGCAGACGTCCTCCTGATTGTCTCCACTCTGTCCTCCAGCGCCTCACAAACCGTGGCTCTCGCTGCGGCGTTTGTCACTTTGTCTCTGCTCTGCCCCCGAACTGCGTCTCCATCCGGCGTCCTGCGGCTCCGCGGCGTTGTCCCCTGTCTCCTGCCTTCTGACTTCCTGTCGCTCTCCTTGGCCACCGGCTGCCCTTGAGGTCCGGGCGGCTGTGACTCGCTGGCTGTGTGGGACAAGGGTCTCCGAGCAGAGCCGCACCGTTCCGATCGGCCTTCCCTCACAAGGCTGAGCCGGCAGCTGATTGGCCGAGCGCCGAGCCAATGAGAGGCGGCCTGTGGCCGGGGCAGGTGGATGTGACAACAGAGGATGTTCTAAGAAGTAACTTGACGTGGAAGCGGTGAAGGTGAATTCTCTATTGTTCTTATTATAATAGCAGGAAGTAAAGGACAAATCGTGAGCACCCAATAAAATATACTGTGTGTGATCTTGATTAAATAATCAATCATTCTAAGGCAGCAGCAAGATGAATAACATATTAACAGATCCACAGAACATCAATGACAGGCATTTACCGATAACATAGTGTGGTTCCAGTTTATTTAACATGAAAATAACAAGCTATTTACATTGTAAATAAGCATATTTTAGTTTTGCATTATTGGTTGAAGAAAACAAGCACTACTGCACATATTCAGCCCTGTAGACAAAGAGTCATTAGTTGTACTCAGATCCGAAGAAAGAGCTTTGCTAATTAACATGAGGACAGTTTGCAACCGAGTCTTAACCGACTTACCTGCACAGTACGTAACTGATCAGCCCAAAGCTTTCCCCCTTCCAGTGACATCACACGCGTGCACGCAAAACAAGAAACACAGCAAGTGGTGCTTGGATGGGAAGAGGTTGAACAGGGGCGACGAGACGTGGACGGATCAACTGAGACACCGGAGAACAGAGATAAATGTACTATTCTGACTTTGGCAGCGTTTTCAGATTGTCCTCGTTCACCCGGATTTAATGAGAAGTCAGTTAATAAGAGATTAAACCTTTAATAATGACAATAAAACACCCTTTATTGATACTATTAGCAGCTAGTGTACTATAAACCAATAAAGACCAAATATCTTTACGGTGTGTTTGGCTGTTTGTAGACACACACACACACACACACACACACACACACACACACACACACACACACACACCACAGCTCAGTGTGTGAGTTATTTTGCAGTAAAACACGTTCTTTCTACAAACATTCAACCAGAGATGCAAATTGCCCCCAAAGCGACGACAGTGTGAGCGTCAGAACGCGCGCATGCCAAACGGCTCCTCTGAAGTCTCTCCGGTGCACGTGACGCGTGACCCTCACCTGACCAGCCTGCGCACGAACCAACTCACCTGCGCTAATCTGCTGTGCGGATAAAGGGCAGACAGCAGACTGCGCGGAGCGGGGCCTTATCTCGTTACGCGCGGCATGAAAGAGCGCGCCGGGAGTCGTGCATGCAGCCGCGTGCGCGCGGAGGCACAAAGGAGCGCGCGCGCGCGCGGAAAGGAGCCACGAGGCGATAAAGCACAGTGGGATTTCTAACGGTACATGCCAGACACACATTAATGCATCACGCGAACCATTACGCACACGGAGGAATTATCTTTTATAAACCATTTAGGAAACCAAATGTTGACGTTACGGCCAAGTGGCTCTTATCTCTCAGCAGCCGCCATCAATGGAGCGGTTTTTTTTTATTATTTGCTCAAACGGAGCTGAGAAGATTGTCAGATATTCAGGTTCAAATCCAAGGTGGAGATTAATCGGTTTGATCGGGGAGGGTGTTTCCCGCTCTTGAGACGCGGCGCGTCACGTGAGTAAAGCGCAGCGGCGTCGGCGGCACTTGAGAGATCCGACGCACCGGCGCGGTTTATTCAGCCGATAATTCACTCGTTTCCACAAAGGCCTTTTGTTTCTCCGCGGTGGCTTCGTGCCAAACGTGCACGTGTTGGAGGAAAAAAGGTTACAGAAAGAAGTGAGACTCTTAATTATCTATAAAGAGGTTCCGAATGAAGGTCCAACATTTTACCCATAAAGCTTCGATCTGGTGGCATCAGAGTGCACAGCATATTAAATATATATATATTGTTTATATAACAGTGAGGACTGATCATTTTATTTTGAAACTCTTACTCGTGGCGGGATGGATATCGATATTTATTTGCAAGAAAAATCATTCAAAACATTGACATTGGTCTCAAATCAATGAGTTGAGAGCTCTTGAAACCGCCGACTGAATAACGCCCAGAAATAGTTAGCGACCACGTGTGAAAGGGGATGTAAGGAGGCCTCCAAGGGGCTTCAAAATACAGCCCGAAGGACAAAACCACAAGTCAAGTTAACCGAGCAAAGGCAGTAAGATGAACCACAGCGAACTGGAAACGGAAAGAATCTCAACGCTGCAGTCGAGATGCAACCGGCTGAACATCAAAAACATCTGGACAACACGGCTGAAGCTCAATAGCGGCTCCGGAGGGACCCAGCTGCCAGCCCCTGACCCCTGACCCCCACGCACCACGTGCATCGCACTCCCGCTGACAAAAAGCAAAAGTACAAGTGAAGCAGACACCCTTCGCACATGTGTGTGTGTGTGTGTGTGTGTGTGTGTGTGTTTTCTCCTCATCCCTAAACTCACACACATCAAATCTCAGCCTCCAGGGACGGCTGTCGGATTGGCTTCCAAAACTGGACAGTCACTCCGCAACTCCAACCCCCACCACACACACACACGCACACACACACACACACACACACACACACACACACACGCACACACGCACACACATTAGCATCAGCCCTCAGTTCTAGTGAGTATAATCTGCTTGGTTTATGTCTGACTCACAGTCATCCATCAATTACTGAGACAGAGGGACTATTGACACTGTGTGCAAACGTCTGGAGGACGTCTCACACACGTCCACGGCTGGCAGAAGGAGAAGGAGGAGGAAGTAAAAGTGGACAAAAAGAGACAAAGGAAGAAAGTGGAGAAGGAAAATGGAGGGAAATGTGATATAGAGGGAGGAGCTTTTCTTCTCCGTACAGTTCCGCGTCTTTAAATAGACGGATGGGACGGCAGAGCGAAGAATGATGGATGAAGTGACAGATTGGAACAGGATCTGTTTCATTGTATCGATCCTTTGCTCACTGTACAGGGATCAGAGGTCACACACACACGCACACACACAGACACACACCAGAGGCCAGAAGAAACGCAACGCAACCGTAGAAACGTCACTCAGAGCTACTGAGACCTGCTCCTCGTACCCAGAGGGTCAGTGGTCTTTAAATGGTTTTCACTCTGGACGTCCTGCGTCCCCACCGGGGAGGACGCCAGTCAGTCCCGGGACACCTACGTGCACAGGAAGCCACTCATGCATTCACTCATAGTTTGGGATCACGACTAAATGCACAGTGTCACATCTGGTTCACACCCCAATAACTTGGCTACACTGCCCCCTGGTGGGCGGATCTATTCACAGGTCGCGTTGAACTGACCACGAGCTTCATTAAAGCTGATTATTTAAACATTTACCCATTTTATCTCCAGCACAGGCCATTGTTTCCCTCGGGCCAAACATCAGGACATGTTGTCTTTTGGCTGTAGACCATCTGAATGTTCTTAGGGAGATTATGTAACCAAGCCTGTCCTGACCATGTGGATTACAGTGAGCTTTCCTTCATATTCTCAATAACATGTATTTGGATTAAGAGGTGAGCGTCTGGTCTTTGGCTCGTTAACCTCGTGATGGAGTCAACAGATGTTCTTCATACACATCCTTTACACAAGTAACCCTCCTATTACACACACACACACACACACACACACACACACACACACACACACACACACACCTGGTTCCCAGACCAGTTCCAGGTGAGGACACACACATCGGACCGTGGGAGTCAGCACCACGCACAGTGCTGATGTCAGGAACTATTACACTCACTCAGCAGGAAGTCTCGTCCATCTCACCTCATCGCGTTTATGACAGATTCACCGTGTGGCTCCATCAGCACGTCGACCGACCAACACAACGCACACGGAGACCGAAAGAGGCGTCCTGCTCCTATGCGTTCGCTTCCTGGCTCTGCCTCTCCCCAACTCCCCCGTGTGTCCACAGGCCGCCCAACAACGCCGCCCAACAACGCCGCCCAACACGCCGCCCAACACGCCGTCCAACAACGCCGCCCAACAACGCCGCCCAACAACGCCGCCCAACAACGCCGCCCAACAACGCCGCCCAACACGCCGCCCAACACGCTGCCCAACAACGCGCCCAACACGCTGCCCAACAACGCGCCCAACACGCTGCCCAACAACGCCGCCCAACACGCCGCCCAACACGCCGCCCAACACGCCGTCCAACAACGCCGCCCAACAACGCCGCCCAACAACGCCGCCCAACAACGCCGCCCAACACGCCGCCCAACACGCTGCCCAACAACGCGCCCAACACGCTGCCCAACACGCCGGCCAACAACGCCATCCAACAACGCCGCCCAACATGCCGCCCAACACGCCGCCCAATACGCCGCCCATCACGCCGCCCAACACGCCGGCCAACAACGCCGTCCAACACGCCGCCCAACACGCCGGCCAACAACGCCGTCCAACACGCCGGCCAACAACGCCGTCCAACACGCCGTCCAACACGCCGCCCAATATGCCGCTCACAACGCCGCTCAACACGCTGCCGTCACTCAGCTGATCACTGGGGGTCAGTGCATTT